CAACAGTCGCAATTCGTCCTACAATTGTCTCTCCTCGTGGGACTCCTATGATCGAATACCCAGGTAAGCCAACATTGCGTATACGCCGCGGCGTTGTAACTCAATTCGAAATTCGATTCGAGCCATTAGCAGGTCAAAGCAGTAGCAGGGCGTCGATTTATAATCAAATCAGTTCTCAACTAAAAGCTTACACTCACAGAAATACTTAGTATTGAATAAAAACTCCTGAAACTCAGCACATAAATATTTTAGATACGAATCAAGCTAACTTTAATAATTTTGTAAGGACTCACTTTAAGTCTATAGCAGCGGTCGGCAGCGTCCTATTAAGTGAGCATAGGGAATTGCTCTGCTCATCCGCTGCCTCTCACGGACACTGTAGAACAGCAGTCTGCACACACACATCTATGAGCTGCCCAGTGCAAATTACTCACACATATATAAAACAAAATGTCATCGTATGTGTGTGCCGACCGCTGGTCTATAGTTATATAGTAGTTGGTTTATATTTCAGCAAATGATGTTAGGTACATTTAATTTATACAGTTACTTTATTTCTGTCAGTGTACCCGCATAACAAAGCCGGAAATTCTCTGGGCATATTCTCAGAAGTATTTTCTTATAAATATTTTAAGAAACAAATGACAACATTGCAAATGGCAAATAAGTTCCGGAAGCTTGTCAAACAAAATGCATTCTCATCTTGAGTAATTTCTTGAATTCCAACCCCCCTTTTTGCCTCCGAGCTGTCATCTTCACGCACATAAATAAATATATATCCCTGGCTAAAAGCTCTTAGCTTTTTACGAGAAGCAATCAATGCAGCGCTTCCTTAATGGACACTTCAGCAGAAATATAGAGATACCTCATCAGGGCAGCAATAAACATGCAGGAGCCGAGAACAAACAAAAACTGGGCACTCTCCTTTTTTTGATCCCGCCCAAGGATGCAATTTGTAGCTACCTGAAACCACGCATGGGGCTTGAATGGTGTCCTTTGTCCTCCAGTCCTTTGTGTTGGACAGGCCCGAATAAAGTCGCTGTTGTGTTAGGCATTCTCGTAGCTCCTCTTTGTGGCCTTTGATTTGCTTGGCTTCGCCGTTTCGCCTTCGACCTCCATTCTTCCCGGCGCAATTTCATCAAGGAGTTGTAATCAAATCTCGACACGAACACAGAAACCCGAGCCCACCACGCACACGAAATTAAATCAAATTTTCTTTAAAAAGCGAAAGCCAAATCAAAAATCAATAAAGGTAAAACAATCTAAGCACATTCCGCCGCGGGCTGCCCATTTACCCATTTGCCCATTTCAGCCAGCTTTAAACTCAATATCTGCGGATAATCAAATGATGGCACAACAAAAACACATTAACGTGCAATTTGTCCCCAGCTCCTCTTGGCCAAGGTGGTCTTCCCAGCCAGGACCATGAAATCCTGGATGAGCAGAAGAATGGAATCAATTTAAACCAAACTTGGGGTATACTTTTAAAGTTCAGAACTTTGCGGGTTCAGACACAAACTTCACGTAGGAAAAATGTGAGATCCTGGGGGTATAAAACCTATTATTCGAGGCCAAAAAGTTCACCCGAAAGATATGCAAACAAATAAATGGTCTTATTAAAACTTGCCAAGTTTTTAGTACAGGGGAAAACGTTTCTGTTAAAATGCTAGAAAACGAAGTTTACAGAAAAACACGATTTTAGTTTTTAGCCAAGCCAAACAAAAATAATTAAAACACTCTCCCATCTTAGTCAATTTGTTCATGTACTAATTGAATACAAAATATTAAAAAAAAAAAAAATTCCCATCTAAATAAATAGTTTGCTATATCATTATTTTAACTTGTCACCATAAAAAGCAATTAAATGCGATTTTGAAAAGAGCATACAATTATTCAGTTTAAACCATTATATTTAAATGCCAAAAAATAAACAACACGATAAATAAAGCTCGTAGCAATAACGTGGATTTTATCCGGGACAACAATATAAATAATCCGTTATTTTCCGACCTCAAAAGCTTGGCATTTTTCCTATTCAGTGGCTTTCACTTGCAAAGTGGAATTTCCACAGTCCTTTTTGGCCACCTGCAGCTCACAGTTAAATTTTCACAATTATTTTGTTTATGGAAATGTTGGCAATCAAACGAAATGCAAATATTTTGTAGTTTTGATTAAAGTTCAGCTTTCATAAATGAAAACGGGAATTTATATGAAGAATGCGCAACTCTACATATGAACGCCACTAAAGACTTAAAGCGATGGAGAATGGCTAACAAGTGACAAGTGATTGGTGACCTCTTCTTGGCCAGAACTTATGGCCATCTGGCCAACGATTGTGCCGCGTTCAATGGCCGGAAAGAGGCAAGGGAGGAATGAACCCGCCGCCACAAACCGCACAGAAGTGCGAAACATTCTTCGGGGGCAGGTCAGAGTTGATTGTATGCAGTGGCACGTTGGAGCTTCTGGCCGGGTCATAACTGATTGGTCACTTGCTTGTGTGTGAGATGGCTTAAATGGTGTGGGCCATGCTCGTTAATTTCGCCACGCACTTGCAGTCATCGTCCTTGGTCCTCGAATGGCCCCCAAGGTGCCATTTCTGAGTCAACACTGCTGCCGGGAGCCACTTGGCCTGAACTATTCTCACAGTTTCTTCCAGCTCGCAGCTCGCAACTCCTAGCTCCGGTGCATTAACCCTGAACCCTGAATATTCACCGAAATCTTCGCAAATGAGCTGCAGAAACAAAGGCCAACCAGTTAATTGAATCTCGCCTAGGTTTCCTTTGTACACCATTTTGAAGCTGGCTACTCCTTTAATTACTTGAACCCAAAGCGGATTTTCCACTGTATGGCCAATGTCTCTGGGCAGTCAAGTGCGAAAAGATCCCGCAAAAATGTTTGCCCAACACTTATGGTGCGGCTGGCTTGAATATTCAGACTCTGAGACGCCAAATGCAAAACTCGAGCAGCGCATAAAAGTATACATGGCGCCACCCACAATTGCGCAAAAAAGCTTAAGCCCCATATTTTCTTGCTCATACGCCATGTGTGCCCGAGTGGTTAGAACTCGTTATGCACTTAAGGCAGCAGTGTTGCAGCTGCAGTCAAGGGTTATCAAATATGAAGAATATAGGGACTGTCAAAAGGCAGCTCAGCGAATCGAATAGGGCATGCCCTATAACTAGCTTTGAGAATGTACCTTTGTGTGCACAGAAAGAGATTCTCCTTTGATCTAATTCAGATAAACTTCAATGGATAGGCCCCAGGCACAGACAGATAGTAATTGATGGAAGCCCATTCAAGGCGCACCTTCCCAGGCAAAAGCCCTTCGCAGACGCCTTTCGTCCTTGAGCGAGTAGGAGGGCAAAGGGCGGACAAGACAGTCACGTGTGTGCAGGGCTGCCATGTGCCCAGCTCCAGCCTTTCCTGGTATCCCCATTCCTCCATCCCCATTCCTTCGGTAGTTCCCAGATACTTAGCTGCACGCACTAGTATAGACTTACAGTAAAACAAAAAACTTCTTAGAAAAATGAAAAACTAAATAACTGATTTAATTATTTCTGTAAAATGGAAAAGTAAATATAAGATCTAAGCTTATCATAAAAATATTCATACTCGTCATTCTTTGGTTTTTAATGCGTTTTTTACTCTTGGGAATAGCATTTTTGATATATTTCTAAATTTCGAATTAATTTATTAAAAAATCTGACGATTTATCATATAGTTGCCATTGGAACGATCGGAAAATTAAAGGGAAATTAATAGGAACAAAATTATATCTTCATTGATTTTGATTGTATTCTGTTCAACTCTAAAATAAATTTATCACTATGGACGGCAGTCCATGTAGTGACGAAGCGCACCAGGAGAGTGTGCGAAGGCGACTACTATATATACACGAAGAAATGAAAATCTACTGTGATGGTAATAATAATAATGAATGATACACCTATCGAAAGGTATTGCGAAAACTAACAGGATTGCATACCAAGACTCTAAGAAAATTAATTGGCTTGGGAGAGAGAGCGGTGAAAGTGAAAAAGTGAAAATTTGAAATTTGGAGCTGTTGGGGCCGGTGGGGATAAATGCCCCCTCGAAATGTTTTAGTTGTATTCCTTTTGAAAATACCCGTCGAAATTGTCAAAAGCCGACGCTCCGTTCAAAAGTTATAGCCAAAATAAGATTTTCTTCTTCTTCCCAAAATGAAAATTTAATTCTGTTTGTCAGTTTGTCCAAAACATGTTTTTTAAGTTTTGAAAATTTGATATGACGTTCATCACATCGATATGAAAAACTTTTGTTCTACCACTTTTCGTCACGCTGCAATAGAAAATGCCTGTTAAGGGAAAAAGGCTGGAATAGTTTGCTAGGGCGGGCCGAATGAGAAAATATTAGAAAGTCTATTTAATGACGAGTGTAATAATTTTTCGTCACAAATGTTGATATCAGAACTTTTGTATGTTGAAGGTGCGGTCGTCACTAGTTTTTTACCTCGTTAAGAGGTGTTTTTATTTGATTTTTAAATATGTAAGAATTTCGAATTTAATTTAACAAACGTCGAAAGACTATATTATATAGATTAAAGAAGTAGAAAGGACAGAAAAATATCTGTCCAAATAATACAATAAATAAATAATAAACAACTATAACTTTCTTTGTTGTAACTTGTGCTGCAAGGGTATATAAACTTCGGCTGGCCGATGTAAGTTATATAGCTATAACGATAACTACAGCAATTATAAATTTACCCTTTGAGTAAATGCTTCACCCTTTTCTGAGTGTAAAGTAATAAGGTACAGGAAAGTGTGCAGCCAGCTGCGTCGCTTAATGTGATAAGTAAGCGCATCAATTGTCAAGTGCAGCGAGTGGTGCCACGGAAACGGGGGAATTCGATTGTCGGGGATAAAGGCGTGATGAAGAACAGGGGTCCTTGCAAAGGCTTTGTTCGACAACTCAATTTAGAAACTCAATCATCAGTGCCCCCTCTTCGCCTTTCTTTGCAGAGTTCGTGTGGAGTACTATGTGAACGAAAACACATTTAAAGAAAGACTGCAACTCTATTTCATTAAGAATCAGCGTTCAAGTAAGTACCCACCGCCAAGTGTTGTCTTTGAGTTAACCAAAATGTTCGACTTAATTACAACAATCATCAAGGTAGTATTTAATTGAATTTGATTAGTGGCGGGATGTACCGGTGTATCCTGGCAGGATACAAGCACTAACACACAGACAAGCGCACACAGACAGACGGACCAACGAATGACATTACAAAGGCGAATTCGATAATCTTGGGTAAATATTGATTTGGGAAGGAAATAATTGAACAGGTAAACAGGTCTCGATTGAGGCGAGGGGGTGGTTTTCCTCTGGGGGCAAAGGGAAAACCCACTGGACAAACATTCGTAGACAGTGTAATTCACTCAACTGACCCAAATTCTAACGCATTTGCTATTTCCTTCTACCCAAAAAAGGCCTGCGCATACGAATCGCCGATTTATTCCTTAAGTTACTGTCGTGTGTTCTCTACATAATACGTGTGATATTGGATAAAAATCCAACATTTATAACATGGTGAGTGCCCCGAGCCCGTTGATTTATGATTAAATAACCGACATCCATCCAAATAGCTATGGCTGCGAAGTGGGCAACAAAACGGAGTTCATCATCTCGGCCAAACTGACGGAGGAGGAGTTCCAGGAGAGCCCCATCATAAACTGGGACGCCATACTCTGGGTGAACCGGCCAACTGTGCTCTGGGTCCTGCAGCTACTTCTAGCCATGGTGTCGCTAACGCAATCCTTGGTTCTCACATATCTAGGCTATAAGGTAGCCCTATCCTGCCCCACATATGAGGCTTCAAACCTGATCCTAACGGGACTCTAATTTCTGTCTGCTAATTTCAGGGCAACATCTGGCAACAGATACTCTCATTTCACTTTATTCTAGAATTAGTAACGACAATACCCTTTGCACTTACGGTACGTTTGAGTCTAGGTTCCCGAAGCAAACTTATCAGCTGCGTTTATCCTTTCAGATTGTTCATCCTCCGCTGCGGAACCTTTTCATTCCCATTTTCCTCAACTGCTGGCTGGCCAAGCGATCGCTGGAGAATATGTTTGTGAGTGGAGGTGTTTTTACTAACCGATTTCAGATTTATCTAATCCTGGACCCCACAGAATGACCTCCATCGTGCCATGCAAAAGTCTCAGTCGGCGCTCTCCCAGCAGTTGACCATTCTATCAGCAACATTGCTGTGCTTAGTCTTCACGAGGTATTGGGATCCCCGCTCTTTATGAACTTATCCCCTAATCTATGCAACTTTTATCTACTCGCAGCGTTTGTGGCATCCAGCACTTTCAGCGCGCTGGTCATCGACATTTGAATCTCTTTCAGAGCACCTACTATGTGGTTGTGACCTTCTCCACAGTGGGGTACGGTGACTTTGTGCCGGACATTTGGCCCTCGCAGCTCTATATGGTCATCATGATTTGTGTCGCCCTCATTGTGCTGCCCACGCAGGTGAGTTCATCGGGTATCCAATGGCTGGGGGTGGGGCCTCGCCTTCCCAAAGCCAAATAGTTCCGTTTAGAAGCTATCTTATGGCCGGGCAAAAAAGCCACATCAAATATTTATGCTTCATAAGCCGGGACGAACCTTATCCCCATTCATCATCTGCATCCAAAGAGGGGGGAGTCGACTTGGCCAATCAATCGATATTAATAAATAGAGGGGATGCTGTCGATGGAAATCGTTCACCATTTGCCCGGCTGGCTGTCTGTCCCTGACCCCATCCCATCCCAAAGGCGACTGTCTGACTGACTGACTGACTGCCATGTTCAACAATTTGCAAACAATTGTTTTATCAACAAAAACAAACGCTGAACAAGCAGCAGCAGCAGGAGTAGAGATTCGAGGGAGAAATACGAGCTGGGATGGCATCTGAAACTCGAAATAACAAATCCTACATACCCTTTGAGGATTGATTGAGGATGGTAAAATAACTAAAAATAATGTTATCAGTTACTAAGTATTTTTTGTAGAAAATAAAATGGGGACAAATGAGGCATAGGGCTTGCAACTATCAACAATACCAATAATTTAAACATAAAGTGCGAGTACTTAAGAAGATCTTAACAAGAAAGGGTATTAGAATAAGACTGACCATTGGTCACTTGGCCAAACAGCAAAAAACAAGAGCATCCATCAAAACAGTTTTTCTACCTTTTTTCTGGCATAGTTTTCTTGTGGAATGGGTTTTTGTTTCTCCCAATACTAAAAGTTCCAAGTGCATGTCAATATGCTGCAGAATTTATGACTTTCTGCGACCCACTCCCCAATAAAAACAACAAGTTGAATGCGTTTTTGTACAAAATGTTGCAAAAATCCAGAGAGAAAGTGCTAGCACTTAAATTTAATTGAACTTATTCAATTCGAGCGAATCGAATTTCCCCGAGAGAGGCTTTCAATAAACTCTACTGAAAGCAACAATGTATTTTTACCATAGGAGAGAATCATTTAAACGATCATAGTTTTTAAGGGTTTACCGGTTTAAGGTGTCAAAGGTTAGAGGTGCAGTTTTATTTTAATCTTTTAACCTTTCAACCTATGTTTCTGTTTTATGAGAACATTAAACTCGCAAGAAGCAAGGTCACAGCCATAACTTTAAAGGAACTGCACATAAAAATATTTTTGTTCACTCCAGTTCAGTTTTTAGGGGGCTGTTAAACATGCAAGTGTTGTATGAGGGTTATTAAACTTAAGCAAGGTGGAAGATAATACATGTTTGAGAAATGTTGATATAGCAATTTGCCTTTAAAGCGAACTTAAGTACGCAGAATGGAAAGGGGAAACATTAAGCGTTTTGAAGATGGTGCATTCTCGATGTGATTGATGACTCATTTAGCTAATAAATTACTCGCTTTCTATGCTATACACAGTTCGAACAACTAGCCTTTACGTGGATGGAGCGCCAAAAGTTGGGCGGCAGCTATAGTTCACATCGCGCCCAAAGCGAAAAGCACGTGGTGGTGTGCTCCACCACCCTGCATGCGGACACCATCATGGACTTCCTCAACGAGTTCTACGCCCATCCGCTGCTGCAGGATTTCTACGTGGTGCTGCTCAGCCCCATGGAGCTGGACACGACGATGCGGATGATCCTGCAGGTGCCCATTTGGGCGCAGCGCGTCATCTACATTCAGGTAGGGGGCGTCCTTAATCCGGCTTAGTCCCAACACAAGTAACTGACTGGGCGGGGAAACCCACGCAATTGCAGGGATCCTGCCTGAAGGATGGCGACCTGGCACGCGCTAGGATGAACGAGGCGGAGGCGTGCTTCATCCTGGCGGCCAGAAACTATGCGGACAAGACGGCCGCCGACGAACACACCATCCTACGCTCCTGGGCCGTCAAGGACTTCGCCCCGAATGTACCGCAGTATGTGCAGATTTTCAGGTGAGTCATCTGATGGGTGTCCTGTTCGGCGTTCCCGAATAATTCGTTTTTCGCTTTCTCTGCTGACATTTCCATTTTCATTTCCAAATGCCAACCAATCGCACATCCTGCGGAAATTCCATTTCGCTTCTCGCATTTCCGCTTTCCGCAGGCCTGAGCACAAGCTGCATGTGAAGTTCGCGGAGCACGTGGTCTGCGAGGACGAGTTCAAGTACGCCCTTTTGGCCAACAACTGCACCTGCCCCGGCGCCAGCACACTGGTCACCCTGCTGCTCCACACATCCCGCGGACAGTACGTATACGCATGGAGGTCCCGGTGGCAGGACATGCAAAAAATTCTCTATCCGCCGTGCGTCATCGGCTCGCTTGGATGCGTCACGTCACCGGCGGAGTCGGTGGTCTGGTCACAGCCGCTTGATTGCTCATTCAGACGTTTTTCCTCGGGCTTTTTGTGTATTTTTTTATTTTGTGGGCAGCTAATTTAGTTAAAGTCGGGGTGGGCGGCTAAGGCGCCCTTAGCTGGATGGAAAAGCCATGATTCTGAGTTTAGCCTTTGCTTATTGAAACAAATCGTAAAAGTGGTAAGAGGTTAAAAGGGGAAGGTTAATTGTATCAACCACGAAACTATACAGGAAATGATTTAAGAAAATTCCGAGGTAACTTTAATACAACAATCTGACATAGGGGCTTAGATTTGTAGTTCTAATAAATATTACTTTAATGGTAAAGTACATTTTTATATTACTGGGAAAATCATACATACAAAACAAAATCATGGATTTTAAATATTGTTGGCAAAAAATCAACCATGAATATTTAGACAAAATAACCATAGTATCACCATCTTCTCAATAGAGAGAAAGTTCATTTAATTTTAATGAGTTCAGCGCAAACAAAGGGATTAGTTTGCCTTCTCTTATCCTTGCACTTACATGACAGGAATTCAATTTAAAATTCCAGTTTTAATTAAAAGCGTTTTGTGACATGCCAAGGAAAACGAAAAACTTTACATGCCGTGGGCAAGTGTGAAAATTAGCAGAACGTGGGGGTCGAGTTCGGGTTAAGGTGGTTTTGCGGAAAGCTTCAATTAAATGCGGCTTTTCACTTGTAGTTCCCTGCGCCATGTGGTCGCGTGGCATGAAGAGCCGGGTTAATCAGATGTCAGCGAATGCTAATTGGGGCACCAACTGAGCCGTGACTCATGCATTTCGCACGAGCCTAACCAAAGGCACTTCTCTATAAACACACATATTTATATATTTCCAAATTATCTGCAGGGAGGGCCAGCAGAGTCCGGAGGAGTGGCACCGCCTGTACGGCAAGTGCTCCGGAAACGAGATCTACCACATTGTGCTCGGCGACAGTCGATTCTTTGGCGAGTACGAGGGCAAGAGCTTCACCTACGCCAGCTTCCATTCGCATCGCAAGTAAGTGTCCCCCCAGTGGATTTGGAATCGAAGGCCCCGCATTCAGTAAACCCACCCTTTCCAGATATGGAGTGGCCCTGGTGGGCGTGCGTCCGGCGGAGCTGCCGGAATTCTACGAGGAAACCATTCTGCTGAATCCCGGGCCCAGGCACATTATGAAAAAGGATGACACGTGCTATTACATGAGCATCACCAAGGAGGAGAATTCCGCATTTGTCGTTAATCAAAATCAAACATCGGACCCAACGGCAGCTGGCAAGGAGGGGGGCGTGGCCGGGGGCGGGGGCGGTCCCTCCTCGTCCGCCTCCCCGCACCCCGCGTCTGCAACTGGTGGGTAGACCCTCTCCATAAGCCTCCATAAGTGTGTGTGTGTGTGTGAGGTCCAACCATTTAAAATTCAAGCGAATGAATGAACAAACTACTATATATATCCATTTACATGCGAACATAAATATGATATATATAAATTATAAGCTTTCCTTATTTAGCAACAAGTTCTTGCTCTGTCTCTCTCTCTATCTTTCTTATGACATTTATCCGATACTCCTTATTTTTGAGGCTGAGTTGAAAGTTTTCTTTTGTCGTTTTCCCCCAACTCTTCAGTTCGTTTGGTTTGTCTGAATGAAACGAAAACGCTTTAAGTGTGTGTTCTGTGAGCGAGTCTGCCTCGAATTAACGTTAATCTTTATATTCGCCTGGCCCGATTTTGTTTTCTTTTTTGTGATTGTGAAACTTTCTACCTTAATCATTTTGTTTGGGTTCCACTTTGTTAATTAATATATTCCTACGAGGGAGTAACTTAGCAGCTTTATTATCCTTACAACATATGAAAACTAATACAACATTTGAGAGTTCAAACCAAACACGCTTTAAGGTCCTAGAGGCAATGTCCTTTAGATGAAATTTAGTTTCAGTTTTATCTAGAGCTCACTTAGGACTGGATAATATTAGGTTAGATTATGTCTTCCACCACACACACACACAAACATACAATACACAGTATTCGAACTCCTGTACCGTTAGTAGAAAGAATATAGCCCCAGTTTCCGGTTCCGCTTTCGATCAATGAGAGAATTAGATGTTTAATTCAGAACTTTTAATTACAATATCATAAATTTTCTAAACCGTAATTTGATCGAAATGGGAAATAAGAGAGAATTAGAAGGAAACTCTACAGAGTCTCCCCAGAAACAATCCCCATAAACATAGACTAGCTTGTTCCTTTAATGTTATGTATGAATGTCGCCTAAGTACAACAATAATGTTTAAAAAAAAATACATAATCAACTATGACAACAGCCAATCCAACAACAACAATAACAACAACAACAGTACAAGCAACAACAACAACAACAATTAGCACAACCTTCACATCATCAACATTACTATCAGCATCAACAACAACAGCAACAATAAATGCAACCTCAACCGCCGCAGCCGCACCACCACCAGTGCCGTCTGTTTGTGTGCGTGTGCCCCACAGTCCCAGTTACGATAGTGGTGGTGGCACCACTAATACCGGCACCACCCACTTGCAACCGTATCCGTATCCGCAAACGTATCCGCAATCGTATCCGCAATCGCATCCGCAATCAATGCAAACACCAGACAGTGGCGAGTTTGCATCACTATTTGTGCGTGAGTGTGACACCAGAAATACCGAAACCCCAACTGAGAATTTAAGAAACAATCCCCGCAAGTCAAGAAAGCCCGCATCTTTGGAATAAAACATACAAAAATGAATATCACAAATATTTCGTTCACGTTCTTTGCCTAACTCTATCACTCACCAAAATCCGATTCAGCTTCCCCCCATCCAAGCTATATCTTTTGCAGTTTCTCTCTTGCTGTCGCGATTTTGGAGCTATAGCTGCCTTTACAACCCCCACCCGTATAACTCACATTCTCCGCTACCCATGTCAAAACACATTTCCGTCGCCATTAAAACCCGTTTCTGCATTCCTTTTTCTCACATACACGAGTAAAATAAAAACCCCTACATAAACTCTAGGGTGGACCCTGAAACATAAAACGTCTTACAACATTTTTTTCTTTTTTATAATTAACTTTCAAGGGACACAAAATAAACTTAGTTCTAATAACGTAACATATTTAGATTTTGTTGTCCAAATAAGTTATCTAATATTTTTTGGACCTATTAAAACTTACGCAAAAGCTATTTGTGTAATTTGTAATTTTTTAAGAAAAATATCAAAGACATTTGTTTAACCAAGGTCCACCCTAATGACCACACCTACCCTAGCCTTGCCTTTTCTCCAATTTTCTTCTTCTGCCACTATGCAAAACTATTTTTGTTGTTTGCTTCATTTTTTACTTGGCTTCTTCTTCACGTTTCGTAGTTGTCTTTGCTCAAACATCACTTTTTCAACTTCCGTCCATCATTTTCTTCTTCCGCTTGTCTTTGCATTTCGTTCTATTTGTCTTTGTCTTTGTATTTGTGTTGGTATCTGTGTGTGTGAGCATGAGTTTTGGATGACTACAAATGCCTGTAAATAATCTATCCACCGCACGCAACAATTCGTGTAAATTAGCTGCATAGAACTAGTCTAGCTTGTTATGCGTTCGAATTAAGACCCCCTTCCTGTAGCTCACCCCTTTTCCCTTTTAAGCCGGCCCTGTAATTAAGTAACCAAAAACTATTGGCAGAAAGGGAAAGACAACATTTTGGCAAAGTTGCACCTTAATCACTTTGCCGAAAGTTTTCCGGCCAGTGCAAGCTTGTCGAGGACTTTTAACGAGTTGTTTTCCCCAGGTTTGTCTTGTAGATTTACCCCCAATGCCGCCACTTTGCCTTCTTTTTGCCGTTTACTCTGTCACATTTTTGTCGCTCAGCTGAAATTAGTGGACATTTTATCCTGTATAGCAAGCGCCAAAGTAGCTGTAATTAGAATGGATATTGATCGGCAAGTTGGCCCGTACTAATTGCACCTAACGCTCTCCCCCATCCAGCCAGCGATAATCCGACGGCTGTGATAATCTCGGACTCCAGGCAGAACCTCAAGGACACGACGGTGACCCAGACGGCGGCAACGATAACCACAACGACCCTGCCACCTCCTCACCAAACAATGGGATCCCCGAGCATGGCCGGTGGATCGGGTGGCGGTGGAGGGGGCGGAGGCCTGGGTTTGGGCAGTGCCCACAGCATGGGCACCTCGCTAAGTATCACCCCAGCCACCCTGACCACCACGGGCAATCACCTGGACGTTCCCTTTGCCAACAATCCGAACCTGCTCAGTCCGGATGTGCTCAACCAGCGGAGGGGTAAGTTGGATCTAAACTGATTATCCGGAATAATCTAAGCTTTGAAATAAGCTAGAGAAACCCCAAAGGGGGGAATTTCAAGCTTCAATCGAAGCAACAATCGTAACTAATGACCAAATGTATATTTTGTATATATTTTTCTCCATTTCCACTTAAATAGTATCCCAATATAAGTTAAACTATCTCATAATCGTTTCCCTCTTTAGGTAGTAGACGTCCCTCGATCCTGCCCGTGCCCGATATGTTCACCTCCTCCTCGTTTAGCATCGCGGGCAATGACGATGGCGAGGAGGGTGACGAGAGTGATGATGAGATCGACGACGAGATGCCCTGGCGCTCGCCCTCCGAGAAGATTGCGTAAGTATCGCCCCTGGAAGTCCACTTTTGTCACTATTCCGAGGCACCGTATCCACCCCTCCCAGTGTAGTGTCTCTATCTACATAGAGTTCAACCCCCAACCAGATTGTACCACGTATGTGTATCACTAACTATACTTCTTAGCTTCCAAATTACTTACTTTCAATGAGAAACTAACCTTGAATCTGTGTACATAGACCATGCTAGTCTAATCTCTGCAATCCGAAACGATCGAAGTTAGCTATTGCACACAACCGAACTCGATCGCTGAGGATTGTGCGAGACAACTGAATGTTAATTTTATATGTTGTATTTAAGCACTAGACACCCACCCTTCCCTACTTGTAACCCCAATCCTTTTGAACACATCCAACTTAACGAGAATCGAAAACTTCGCCTCAGCTGCTTGGGCGGGCACTTTCCACAATCGCGCACCTATTCGCTCATCATGAGCTCCTCGGAGGATTCGTACCAGCGAGGTTGCAGCTGCTGCAATGCCACTGCTTCCGCTTCCGTTGCCGCTGCTGCTGCTGCTCCTGCTGCTCCTGCTGCTCCAGGTTATCCTGGCGACTCTCCAGGTGAATCCGTTACTAATGCTGACTCGGTTGATTTCGCCACTGCCCTGCCATCCGAGGAGTATCTGCCGCAGTTGCGCAGGCGCGTGATGAAAAAGAGCTACAGCTGCGACAGTGAGTGCCGTTCGGTGCCCGGAATGGGAACGGGAACGGGCATGGGCATGGGTTTGGGTCTGGGCGGAGGAGCCTTGGCCAGGCTGGCGGCTCGCAGGCGCCAGTTGCAGAGATGCTGCTCCTGCAGTTGCTCCACCACAGCCACCACAACAACAACAAACGCACCGGTGGCAGCGATGGCGGCAGCAACGGCAATGGCGGCCGGAAGTGGGGCAACGGCATTCACGTCGAGCAGTTCCGTAGAGACACGTCGACCGGTGCGTCCGGTTTGGGTCTACGACTACTCCTGGTAAGTCTGACTGATACTGATTGGGCGTGGGTGTTTTTGGGGGAAGGACATTCTGCGGACACACGCCATTTGTTGAAGAGTTCTTGTCTCGTTGTTGCTGTTCGTTCGTTGTTGTTGCTTTTGTTTGCCTGCCGCAGGACATCTTTTAATGACGCCGCCGTTTACCTTGGACCAACTAAGAGCTGAGTTGAAAACTCGAGATTCCCTGACGCTGCCTTCTGGCTTGGCTGTGTGTCGAGGCACTTGGATCTCGGTGCATCTGGTGCATCTGCATTTGCTTCTGCTTGTTCCTTGGCTTTGTTTTGTTTGGTTTTTTCCAGCTTCAATTGTCTATTCATTTCCAAAGGACTCCCCGGGCGCGACAAAGTTTCGCCTCCATCCGCAGTGATTGTAGGAGAAGCAGAGCTGCAGGGTCTCGGGAAATCACACTTTAAGTTTTACCATTTTGTTAATTCGTAGTGAATGCTTTGGATCTGCTCGTAGTTTGCAACTCCCCCGCTCCCATAACCCCGACACAATTTCCCACCTCGTATCTCGTAGCTAAATCGTTTGAGTCCCAGCACAATCTGCTTGTTTCCCCACTCGCACACCATCAGCACCCAACCACCAACCGCCACCCACCTGATAACCTGCAGCCCATCGCCGCTTGTCCACGGGGAGTACACGTCTAACCCAGAATCGTCTGCCATTCCAGCATCGTCAAGGGTTTCCCACCCGTGTCACCCTTCATCGGCGTGAGTCCCACGCTCTGCTACCTGCTCAAAGAGAAGAAGCCCCTCTGCTGTCTGCAGCTGGCCCAGGTGAGGCACTTTGACAGCCCTGACGGCCGGGCCATTTTATTAGGAGGAAACCCATCTCTCTTTCGCAGGTCTGCGAACACTGCAGCTATCGAAATGCCAAGGAGTACCAGTGGCAGAACAAGACGATCATCCTGGCAGCTGACTATGCCTCCAATGGCATATACAACTTCATCATTCCGCTGCGAGCTCACTTCCGATCGAAGACCTCGTTGAACCCCATCATCCTGCTCCTGGAGAGACGGCCAGATGTGGCCTTCCTAGATGCCCTCTCCTACTTTCCGTTGGTAGGTTTACTTAGTTAGTTGGTTGGTAAGAGGTGGCTGATTTCCCTGGGACTCTAGGTCTACTGGATGCTGGGCTCGATCGACTGCCTGGACGATCTGCTGAGGGCTGGTATCACTTTGGCCGAAAGCGTGGTGGTGGTCAACAAGGAGCTGTCCAATTCCGCCGAGGAGGACTCGCTCTCGGACTGCAACACCATTGTGGCCGTGCAGAACATGTTCAAGTGAGTTGAAACGATTGCCAGAAACACTGGGGTAGACTCTTTTACTCAATCCCCCCACCTCTGCAGATTCTTTCCCAGCATCAAGAGCATCACCGAGCTGTCGCAGAGCTCCAATATGCGGTTCATGCAGTTCCGGGCCCACGACAAGTACGCCCTTCACCTGAGCAAAATGGAGAAGGTCGGTAGCGGTGGCCACGCCCCATTCTTACAGCTGACATTTGGTTAATTTGCCGCTCACTTAATTGCAGCGCGAGAAGGAGCGCGGGTCGCACATCTCCTACATGTTCCGTCTGCCCTTCGCCGCGGGAGCCGTGTTCAGTGCCTCCATGTTGGACACCCTGTTGTACCAGGCCTTCGTGAAGGACTACGTGATCACCTTTGTGCGCCTGCTGCTGGGCATTGACCAAGCACCGGGCAGTGGATTCCTGACCTCGGTGAGTGCCCATCGGGAGATCAAGAAAGCTAGTCTCAACCTTGTGACTCTACAGATGCGCATCACCAAGGACGACATGTGGATACGCACCTATGGGCGACTGTATCAGAAGCTGTGCTCAACCACCTGCGAAATACCCATTGGCATTTACCGCACGCAGGACACCTCGAATGCGGACACGTCTCATGTGAGTAACTCGCCGGTCGAGAGATGGGGACCCTTCTCGGCCTTCAGCAGACATTGTGTGCGCTTGCGTCCATCGGTGAGTCCAAAGGCAGAACAAACAGTTGCAAATCCAGAGATCCTCGGATCGAGCTTCGAGATCGCGCACCCGATCCCAAACTCAAAATGGGGCCGGCTCTGCAGGACACTCAAGAGACATCTATTTCTAACCCAACTAACACGCTCACTCACTCACTCGCCCACACCTAGCCTGACTATATCTCTCTCTGTTTCTCTATGTCTAACTCTATCTTCCTAGCTCTACTCTAACTATAGCCTTTTACTTGTCTCTTGCTCACTTATTCTCGTATCTCGAGCTGCGATTAGGTACACACACCGAAACACAGCGAAAAGCGAAAATACCCAGAAAACGAAAACGATAACTTTTTAACTTCTGTTGCCAATTAACTAATTGAGTTCCCCAGATGAAGACGAGGCCTAATCGAAGTTCTTTTGGTTTTGTTCGGCTTTTGGTTTTGACTATCCCTCAGTTCGTGCTATTCTGTTGACTTTTGTTTTCTCAATCACACGCTTACGCTTTACTACTAACTGCATTGAGTCTCGAGTCTGTTCATCATACGAAGTTTTGCATATTTACCTCGAATATTGTTAAGTGCATACGTTTACCTGTATCCCTCTCTCGCTCTCTCTCTCTCCATATATATATATCCAAGTATATATAATCCTTTTCAATTTTTATCCTAAAATGGCAGAAATGGTAAAGATATAGATTCATCATATGCATAAGCTTGATTGACGCCATTAGCAGAGACTTGCTCCCTTTAAAGTAAAGTCCTACATACCAGAATATATACCCACACATGTAAACAAAGCATAGCGTGCTGATTCCGATTCCGATTACGACTCCCACTCCCATTGCAGTTTCGGCCTCCCCTTTTTGTTTACTTTTTCAGTAGCTCTGACCTTGCTGCAATCGGATTGCAAGATTACCACCCAAATCCCCAGTCGCCCGTTTCGTTTTTGGATTCATTTTTGCCGCCACAGCATTCATCATCCGAGAGGAAAACAGATCAGATCAGACAAACTAACCATTAGCCAGCATTCTGTGAGCATATTAGATCAGGTCAATGAAATTACTCATACAAACTACACATACGCCCCGTTGTACCAATTGAACAATTGATTTGCGTTTGTATTGGACCTGACGCACACGCACGCAGTGAGTTCCCCGAAGCGAAAAGAAGCGAAAATCAAAATGAAAAACAAAAAACGAAAGCAAAATACCCATGAAATACCTAAACCGAAATACCAGACACACTTCATACAATCTCATATGCCTGCCCCATTAGCCTGGCCTCCAATTCGTTGTGTGTGTAACTGTGTGTAGTCTAGTCGTAGTTGTTGTAGCTGTAGTTGTCCTCGGGAGTGGGTATTGTTAGCTCCAATCCTTTATCCTTTGGTCCTTTTTGCGTGACCTGTTGGCTGCTGCATGTTTGGCTTTTCCGGCTTTCATTTCGGTTTTGTTTTTGTTTCCGTTTCCGTTGCTGTTTGCATGCCGCCTTTTAATTAGCTGATTGCATTTGCTTATCGTGCCAGGCCTTGCAGTTGTGACTTTCCCTAACCCATTCTCTGGCTTTGGAGGGCTCTTTCAATTACCCAAAGTTTTTGTCCCTGCCAGGACGCGCACGCTGATTGCTCATTAAAAATGCTTGCTTGAATTAAAAATCAATAGGAGTCAGCCGCGTGAACCAGGGCCAAACGTTTTTGGGTTAATTGGCAAAAGAAAAAAAAATAATTTAATTAGACTAGAACAACCTCAGAAAGTAGACGAAAAGTATCCCCAACAGTCGAAACTTTGTTTTTCCCATTTCCCAGTTGGAACAACAACCGCCTAACGCTTGCCCAGCACCTTCTTTTCTAGAGTTCTTATCGTTTTTGGTTGAGAAACTTTTGCTTTCTGGCTTCTTAAATCAATAAATCGCGTGTTTTAATTTCCTTTAAATTCTATAATTTAACCGTTAGCGGAAAGGGGAGACGAACCTTTGCGTGTTTCCTTTCCACGGCATGCCTAAACAACCTAAATGTTAACAATTTTGCTAAGGCCACAACTCAATCACCATACCATACACACACACAGATACTCTCTCACATACTCGAACACTGAAAGCAATTTGCCATTTCAATTAAAAACCAATTAAATATGTAAATCATTTTGTGTTTAACCGAATTCATCGAACTCGAATTTGCATACACCAAACAAATCATGGGCATGCCTCAGTACGACGAGGAGACCGGCACGCCCGACTCGACGAAGGACTCTACGGAAATGCTGCGCGGGGTCACCTACCGTCCGCCGGGGTCGGCAACAGGTGGCGCCAGCAGCTTCCGGCCTCAGCCGCAGCGCCAGCGGTCGGTAAACTGCCTCGGCGGTTGCTCGGAGCGCAAGGGATCATCCGTAAGTAACGCCCCTCGACAACATTCCCCATTTGCCACCAATCGACTGAGGGTTCCGTGGGTCTAGGGTTGGGGTTCAGGGTTAAGGGAGATAAGTTCGTGTTCAGGTAGGTCCGCCTTGATTCCATTCCGGCTTTTGCAGCATGATGTTCTTTGTATGGTAGCATGATTCACTGCAACTAAAACGACTAAACCGGCAAGCGACGATGAAGCCTATCATCGGTCAGCCAAAGCTCCATCCGTCTGCATTTCAGCACAACAATAACACTCACTCAGAATCAGCTAGCATATAGATGTATAACACGGGCCTGTTAGGGTGTTGCATACGCTTTTATTGGTTTAGGTTTGATAACACACTTTGATTTAAGCATTTATTAAAGCTAGTAATAACTCCAACAGGCCCGTAACTTTATGTGTACGATATAGCCTTAGATATTGTGTAAGCAAAGAACCCCACTCTTTTAGTATTCCATCAACCTGGCCGACGAGGCGAGGGACAACCACGCTCAGCAGATCGAGCGTGCCGAGATTGCAAATCTGGTCAGAAGTCGTATGGAGTCCCTGAACCTGCCCACAATCGATTATGATGATGTGAGCGAGAAGCGCAACCACCTGTCCTATGTGATAATCAACCCGAGCTGTGATCTCAAGCTGGAGGAGGGCGACCTCATGTGAGTTTTGAGCCATTTCGATTCCAATTCTCTATTTCAAAGCGAGCACGTAGTACTCTTAACAGCTAGTTAAGGTCCCTGCTCGGGCGCCAAGTGTTAGGTCAACTTATCGAAATTTTGTAATGAAAATGCTTTTGCTATTTTTTGTACCTTCCTTCCTTAGATACTTGGTGAGGCCGTCGCCGTTCTCGGCCCAAAAGACCTTCGAGCGACACAACTCACGCCGCAAGTCGAACATCTCGTTCTGCTCGAACATAAACCTGGGCGCCACCTGCGGCCCCCAGATGCCGCAGATGAACATGAACATGAACATGGCCAACACCGCCGTCGGGGCTGGATCGCGTCGAGGATCCGGCATCGCTGGCTTGAACCCCATGCAAATGCAGAGCGTTCAGACCTTGGCCGGGTATGGATCATCCTCGCAGCGCTGTAGCCCCCCGATGCAGCAAATTAAATCGAATTCTCTTTCTCTACCCGACAGTCCGACGGTGGTTGGCAATCAGCGAGGACGGAGTAACTCATTGCGGGTTGGCTATTATTCCTATTACACCCACACAACCCAGACACACACCACCGATTTCCTTCTCTATGTTTGTTTGATTTGATTCGATTCACGTTTCCACGTTGGTTTGTTCCATTTTTGTTGAGATACACCGATAACACATAATGAAATCACTTTAATGGAGATTTATGCTGCGATTAATTATGTCTTAGATTTGTCACGATTTTTAAATTACACGATCGCAGTATAAACTCAATCTTCGGATCTCTTACGTAAGCTCCTCACAGAGCTTTAGAAAACACTACTACTTCTTTCACACTCTAGTCTTAGCTTGATTTTATTGTTGATTTCTTAACAAATTGGCTAGAACAAACGAATGTGTTCACCCCGTTGCTTTTTCCCGTTGTGGGACCAAGCACTTGCACTCTCACACTAAGCATCAAAATTCTGGGTACACGATTCAAAATAAAGCCGCAGAACACTCCACCAAACAGCACGGCAGCCACTGCAACTGCATCAATCAACAGCAGCAACAGCAAGAACAACTGCAACAATCAGCAACTACAATAAATCATAGTCATAACTCGCACCCAGAGGATAATCACTAAAGCAAGGAACTCATGAAATAATAGACACGTTTCATCCCAGTGTCCGAATCAAAAGACAAAAATCATCGAGCCGCATTTCGAGTTGAAGTTCATAAGTTTCTTCTTAATGTGTTTGTTTGTTTCTTTAAGTAACTGTAACTGTAACCGCAATTGCAACAATAGCCAATTTGTATGTGTAAACGTAATTGAGTTTTGTTGGTATCATAATATCTCGGTTTTGGGCCCAGTAACCCCACTAATGACCGCCACCCTTGGTGGATATTCCCCATGCTTGCTCCTCTTGCAGATCGACAACGATATCCTGCTCCGTCGATCCTCGTCCCTGCGACAGGGCCTTCCCAGCGTGGGCGTCAGCCACGGCCGGAGAAAGTCGTCGCTGGAGGAGATCGGCATAAGTCACTTCACCACCCTCATGCAGGCAACGAACCACAGTAATCCCATCAAGATATCCCTAAACGGCAGCATCGGCATGGAGGTGGGTGACATGATACCCTCCTCAATCCACCAGCTTACTAACCTTTCCCACAGAATCAAATCTCCTTGCAGGTGACGCCGCCCGAGGAGCCCACGCCCATGTTGGGTGTGCCATGTGTGGTGGGAGGTGGCGGTGGAGGCGGCATTAACCCATCCGGAGCAGGCTCCTCCACGGGCGGCATGCTGGGCGGCGGCTCCTCACTGGCCATCAATACCGCTGACCTGGGACCCGGACCCAGTACCTCTTCGGGCGCCAGTGGTTCACTGCAGCCACAGGACTCGCTGGGGCAGCAGTCGTCTCAAGTATCGTCGCCTCAGCACTTGCAGGGAACGATTGTATGATACAACCTGATGTGGGGGCGCCGACTCCGCTCCTCCATGTCGAAAAACAAATGGATATAGAACACGGCCAGCACACACAGACACACCCGTAGAGATAAGTTCTAGGCGAAGTTCAGAGCGAAAGTATTAGGAACCCAACCAAATAAACCCACCCACCCCAAAAAAGCTGTCTGTGGTGTGTGTTCCCGGCGAATCCATTTCGAGCCCCATTAAGTTAGTATCGTATGTTCAATAGATCACTAGAGAGTGGCGCGTGCTTATCAGTTCATTCCTAGGGATTACGTATAGTTATATATATTGAATATTGCATGTTTTGCAATTAGTTTTAAGCTAAGAATATGTCGGCTTTGCACAAAGGAAGCAGCGTCAAATTGTGTTTTGGGAACAACAAATGTAGTTAAACTATTGGATAGGCGGGACGATGATTTAGCAACCTGTATAACTGTATATATCTGATGCCTAGTTGTAAGCATATCCGAGAAGCCGGACGTAGCAAACTATCAAATAGATCGGGCTTAAACGCTTATATCCATGTATATACCTTAGGTATGAGCATTTAGTTGGGCTTCAGCTCGGTTTAGCTTCCCCTTCCTTCGGGAGGAACTTCCTCCGACCCACGTAAACCCCATATAGATACATATATGAAGGTGCTATCAATGTCTTGTACTATACACACAATTATAGGAAGGGAGAATGAGAAAAACAAACCAAGAAAGTGAAACGGTTTTCATAACATAAATTGGAACGGGCTTTGGTATACTCTAATGCTTTACAAAAACCAACAGAAATATGTATACATATATAAAAATAAATCAAAGAATTTGTATATAAACTATAAGTGTAAGAACCAAAATTGCATTCAAGAAAAACCAAATGAAAACAAACTATTAGGACCTAATGAAAATACTTAATTCGAAAAACAACAGAATCTAGAAATAGAGCTAGAGTTAACTACTTAAGGCTAGTTTGGACCGAGGATCGAGTACCGAGTATCGGCAACTGTACCAAATTCTATGAGCTATATGAAACGGCGTTCGCAGCTAACACTACCCTGTAGCATAGTGTCAGGCAACGCAACCCACGTCCCTCTAACTCAATTCGATCCCAGCTTAGGCTCTTCGGGAAGTAGCTAAAGCAAACAAAGTACCTACACAACCACATACCACAAACATCCACACTCACTTAATAATGTTAGTTAAAGCACTTACGGCAGTTTTATAAGGAAATTTTATTCAACGACGACGATGAAATGCATTCTAGTGTCTCGAGAGAATACCTAGTTAAGCTTATGCCTAGCACCCCAGAAACCTATTTATATAGATCTGTATACTTCTGTATCCGCATGTCTGCAACCACATACACCACATAGATCAAATCAATGTCTCAATGTACAAAAGTAGTTAACTAAACCGCATAAGGCATTGGCTGCAGCATTAGAGATAAATTTAGTGCGGACTAGGGTATAAACTCGCTGTAATATTTATCGGCGCCATGCTCTTTAAGGCATGCCGAACAGAACTCACAATAAACTCAAACTATAGTTGGAAATAAAAAAATTGGATTTTTGATTATAAAATAGTAAATATTAAAGGTTGGTTACTAACACATGGCGTGCTTTTACTGACTTATGCTTTTTTGGTTCTGCAAGCAGTTAAGATTGCCCTTAAATTAAGGGCTTAATGAGATTTTTCATAATGTTTTGTTTTATTTCCGAAAGTTGGGTTCTAAATGATTTTTTAAGTTACTTAATAAATTAAGCTATTGAAATTATGAAGGTTTTAAAATTTTTTGTCAACACTCTGTAGCCCCAGCATCAGAAAATAAATTCTGTCAAGGCTTGTTTCTCTTTATTAATTATTCTTCGTTATTAATTATTCTTCTTTGAAATGGCACCCAGGCACTCCTAGTTAGTTAATTAAATGTAGTTTAGTTTAATTTAATTCGATACCATTCCGCGCTTTGGTTAACTTGCTTTGCTTTGGTGATTGTATACGTATCGAAAAATAATTTCAGTTTGCATTAAAGATAGACTTAGAATCCGGGCGCAGGCACGGAGCAGCCTGTGGAGGCGCCGGTGCACTTGCAGCTCTTTCCGGACGGAGCCTGTCGGTTCACCAGGCAGATCCGGGAGTCCGTGCATCCGCCGTTGTTGATCTGGCAGGCACTCTGGTACTGCGGACAGTGCTGCTCCACGACCGTCATGCCGTACATCTTGTGGCTGCCGAAGAAGGGCGGCTGGATGGGCTTCTGCCGCGTTCCCAGACTGTCCACGATCTCCACTTTTTTGCTAAACAACAAATGCATCCATTAGCAGAGGCTCTTGGGCGGATAGAATTGAAAAACTCACGTGGTCCAGTCCGTCCAGTAGAACTGATCGTTCGTGTAGGTGATGCCGAAGGGATAGGACAGCTCGTTGGAGACGGTGCGAATCTGGCGGTTCTGCGGATCGATGCACTCCACCTTCTTGGTGCCCGCATCGGCGTAGCACACCTCACCGGAATTCTCGAGCACCACCAGTGAGTTGGGCAGGGTAACAGCATCCTTGCCCAGGAGAAGCTCGCGACCAGTGCCATCCAGGTTGGACATTTCGATCTTGGGCGAATCGCGGTTCCAGTCCGACCAGTACAGTTTTCTAATCGGAATAAGTAAAACTTTAAATTTGAATTTTAACTTAATTACAAGCGGAAGAAGGACACTTACGCCCTGTAGGCATCCACGGCAATGCCACGCGGGTTCACCAGCTGCTTATTGATGATCACTGCCCGCAACGAAGGATCCTCCAGGCTGGCCACCTCAATTGTGTCCTTCGCTGAGTCCGCCCAGTAAAGGCGGCGCGAGATCACATCGATGGCAATACCCTCGGGAGATTCAATGTCTGCGAATAACAAAGGGTTAGGCTGCTTCTCTCTGGCTGCTATAGCTTCCTCCTACCTGTGGTGATAAACGGACGAGAATCTGTGCCGTCGTATTTCGCGCTAACGATCTTCTTAGTTGAAATATCGCCCCAGTAGACTCGTCCCTCCACACAGTCCTTGTCCAGACCAATGGCCATTTGGGCCACAGAAATAGGCCTCACATTACGTCCATTTAGGGGAACGCGAGCGATCATCACGCCCTGGCTGACGATCAGGAAGTCGGAGTCCTGTTGCTGGCGCTCCTGGCACACAGATCCATTGCCGTAGAAGCCTAAAATGGTGAAGTATGTTAAACGTGCTTTATTTTTGATAGCAATCGCAGTACTCGCAGCTCTTTCAGTCTTTTCTAGGCCTTTCGTTTTGACTCATCACTATTTCTCTTCTAAATTTTTATTTTCCAGCTGAATCAGTCAGTAAGTTTATCTCTACGGCTAACATACACCCACTCAATCTAACTCTTTATTCCAATAAGGGATGAGGCATACCCAGAAGCTGCTGACTAAGATGTGGCGTCCATTGGACGGGGGACTTAAAATGAAAGGCCGCTCCTTCAACCAACAAAACTTCAGCCCAAAGATTCCCGACGAGGCGGGTAAGCGCCCAACGCACTTTCAGTCCATGCGCGAATTCTTTATGCATCCGCTGACCTGGGATCGCAACAACGGCTACTTCAATGTGGTGCTGGCCCTGTCCATTTTTGGCTTCTGCTTCTTCAACTCGTGCGCCCCGTGCGAGCAGCAAAGGAGCGGCCTCGAGGAGCGCACAACCCGCCCACAGTGAATCCGAGGATAAGCCCCTGTTGCGTGAAAATTGGCTGGAACTCACCTTGATTGCAAACACAGACCAGGCCGGAATTGGTCGAGTGGCACTTCGCGTTCATATCGCACAACGTCGGGTTATTCAGGCAGTTCTGCTCCTCAATGCACACGTATCCATCGCCGTTGAAGCCTGCAATGCACTGGCACTCGTAATTGGCCGGATCCCTGGGAATAAAGCAGCGGAATTATGAAATGTAATTCTATTTTGCATAAGAGTTGAGTCAATATACAAAATATTATGGGGAATTTAATATTTATTAAATTTTGCAATGACGACCTATAAATTTATTGCAGTAAACATTTTACGGGAAACCTTTAAGTACTGTTTAATTTCTCTGTATATTCTGGCGATAATATTTAAATATATTTTTGACAAAAGAAAAAGCCGCAATACCCTTGCAGATCATTACTATTAAATTACAAAACATTAACTTTTCTTTCCTTCTTATGCGGCTATAAAATATTGTCGTCCGATTATTGTTATATTTAATTCAAAATTCTGAAACGGATGCCTATGAAAAATGCACATAATACCCTCAGCAAGGGTATAAAAAAGCTTTACATGCTGACACAAAAGGAGAGTGTGTTGCACTTTTTATCAATCGTATATTAACGAAATGGGTAAAAATGCAACATATCCCTTCATAAAAACCAACATTAATTGGTTGGTATTCGAATTCAATAAAAGTTCAAAACGAATTGAATTAAAGTGTGGAATGAAGTGAAATCAAACTAGTATAGATTCTATTCTAAAAGCCCCAGGACACTCACTCGGTGGGCTCGCAGGTGGCGTGGATGCCGCAGTTGTTCACGACGTGGCAGGACAGGGGCTTGCTGGTGCACCCTGTGAGCGGGTCGCCTTCATAGCCCTCGAGGCAGTCGCAGTACTGGACACCCTGCTCCGGGTCCCACTTGCAGATGGAATTCGAACCGCAGAAGACGATGCCACATCGTCCGGCCGGCACACAGCGATCGCTGACGTCCCGCTCGTAGTCCTTTTGGCAGCGGCAGACGCCGTCGTCGCAGAGGGCATTTTCGCCACAATGCTCGGCGGACTGGCACTCGGGGGCCAACTGGCAGCGGAAGCCGTCGCCTTCGTAGCCCGCCTGGCACTGGCACTCCGACTTGCCCAGCTCCTCGTTCGCAACGCAGCTGGCATGAACGTCACAGATCTCGGGTCTCTAAAACGGGGTTAAAAAAATAGCTTCATAGCGGTTTCTTATACGGGTTTCGGCGAACTTAGCCAACTAACAATATCACAAGAGTCGTCGCTGATTGACTCGCAGGTGTATCCGTCGCCTCTGAATCCCGGCTGGCAGGTGCAAATGTGTCGAAGCTCTTGGCCAAACCAATTGCAGGTGGCATTGATGTGGCAGTTGTCATCCACGTCGCAGGGGACTGCAAGTCGCGTAGAAGGGGGTTAGTAAGCTTAAAGTCTTTACTTGAAATTTTTAGAATCTCACTCAGATCGGAGTTCCTTTCACTATCAACGTCGTGGGCGTAGGTGCAGCGCTGGCTATCCTGGGTCAGTTCGTATCCATAGGGACATTGGCAGGCGCCGAAGGCATCGCAAGACGGGTCCACGTCGATCCTTTCGAGCAGCAAGGGCTCGCAACGGCCATTCTCAAAAACTTCCTCGTGTCCACAAATGTTGGTGCAGGAGTAGCCATCGCCTTCAAATCCTTCGCGGCATGCGCAGCGTCCTTCGTAGCAGTCGGCGTCCTTCGCGCAGCGCTGTGTAAGGATAAAAAGATAAGTAATGCAGTGCAACCTAATATGTTGCCTACTTCCAAGCGAAAATTGTATTTAAAGCATACTGCAACTGCCTAAAAAATTGATCTTAAATCTATTCATTTATTTGCTTCATTATGAACCTCAAATTTATCTTATAAGGACGTTAAAATTATCAGATTTCCATTCGTTTAGTAAACAAAGATTTTTATACGGAGAAAAAGAATGAGGGTCATGGCTATTCAGTTGAGCTGCCAAAAAGTCAACAGAAGTCGATAGTACTTCTATCGACTTTTTCCAATCATGTACCAACTGCGAAGTGTCGAACCAATTACACTATATTTAAATAGTTCTGTGCTGATATTCATTTAAAAAATAACATTTACATTTATACATTTTTAAGGATTTGTTCTTATGTCTTGCAGCCCTATCATATAGTAATACTGATATCTCTAAGATATATACATTGAGAATCGGAAGAGCCTCTAAGATTTTTCTAGGCCTTTGAAATAACCTTTAAATTGGTATGTCTTTTTTTTGGTCCACTTACGTAGCACTCGTCTTGGTGTTGGGGCACCTGTTCCTCGGGGTATGGATATGGATCCGGCTGGGGATACTGCTCCCGCTCCTCTTCCCTTTGCCGTTCGCGTTCCCGTTCTTGTTCCTGTTCGTGTTCCCTTATCCGCTGCTCACGCTCCCGATTGCGGTCCTCCGTCTCTTGGGGATATGGGCTGGGATTGGGGTTCTGATCCTCAGTGGCTGGCGGATACTCGATATTGTCAGCGGTGCTGTTGGACAGACAACGGTAGCCGTTGCCCTCGAAGCCCTCGGTACAGTAGCAGTTGAATCCGCCCTCCGTGTTGTCGCAGATGGCGTTCTCGTCGCAGACATGGGAACCCGATGCGCACTCGTCGATGTCCAGGCAAACCTCCAAGCCGCCCTCGTCCAGCTGGGCGGCGAAGCCATGGTGGCAGTCGCACCGGTAGGTGTCCTCATAGGGAACGCACACCGAGTTATCCACGCAATCGGCGGTGCCATCGTTGCAGGCATTCGACTCGGCGGTCACGCCCACCTTGCTCATGGCGCCAATGCGCAGCGCCTGGTCACGGTCCACATAGTCCAGAGCCACCTTGGAGATCTTCTGCAGCACCTTGGTGGCACTGGGGTCAGCCTCGTCATCCCGCAAGCAGCTGCGGTACAAAATCCTTTGCTCCACCTGTGGTACATTAATATATTATCATTTGGGAACTGTTTAAAAATTTTATTCGGATTTATTTAGGGCTAGAACTGATTTACAAATAAATAAAAATTGTTGTTGAATTATTTATTTTTTAGCTGTTTAATCAACCAATAAGTTTCATTGTCTATTTCTCCATTTTTCAAAACAAACAACTCAACAATTCATTTGTCCTGTTTGTCCTCTAACAATATTAAAAACGTATAATAAATAAACTGCTTTAGTAATTATTATTATTTACTTTAATACAGACAAAAAGTTAAAGTATCCTCTTTTTGATAAGAATCGAGACTGCCTAATTGATTCCCTCTTAAAAAAGATACCAAATATAATTTTCGGCCTCCGAAATAGTTCTAAGTTTTAATCTATACAGTAAAGACTTGGTCTCACCTGAAGTCCCAGCACGCGCTGTTCTCCCGTAAGATTCAGACTGAGCACCTGCACAGATTTCAGTTCTCCAGGTCTCTCGAATGTGTACTCTTCCACGTAGTCAGGCAGAATTAGGATCTCATCCGCCGCCACCGCAGGAACTTCGCCGTAAATCTCGATCTTCACGGACAGCTGGTCCCAGTAGTTGAGGCCCTCGAATGTCTGGTTCACATGGAGACTCTCCCCAGAATCGAATTGCAATCGAGAAACATGTGTGTAGACACCGCCGGTCAGCTGGTAGCCATTGGGCACCCCGCCCACCGACTTGGCGAACAACCAGGGCACGGTGGTCAGCAGTGGGAGGGCCAGTCGGAGCTGGGCGCCCTGATCGGGGGTTAGCGGATTGATGGTGGTGTAGGTGCGACCCTCGCTGGTCACCACATACGACTGCAGCTTGGCCTCCTCGCTGACGGGCTGCTTGTTCAGCTCTCCGGTCAGAGTTCCTGCCACTCGGATGGGCTTGTCGTTGGCCAGGCAGGACTTGCCGTTGCCATAGAATCCCGATTCGCAGACGCAGCAGTATCCCTCGGCCTTGTCGTGGCACTCCGCCCTCTCGTGGCACTGGTGGCCGTGGGCCTGGCAGCTCTGGGCCAAGGCGGGTGACTCCGTGCGGGACTCGGCGTTGTCGGGGGTCCGCACATTCAGCTCGGGCGCAATGGGGGCCACATCGAACAGCCAGACTCCGGGAACGCCCAGGTTGGTGCTCTCGCTCAAGAAACGGGCCTAAGAACGGGGGAAATCAATCAGGTTTATTCAAATTTAGCAGAAAATTACTAATTAATTTTTACTTTAATATTATGAACTTACATTCTCCGATCCCGAACCGTTCAGGGAGTAGTAGCGTCCATCCTCAGCCACGAATCCTGCCTGGGCACGAATATCGGGCAGACCCAATCCAGCGGTCTCGCCCTGCAGCCAGTTAAGACCGCCGTCCGGATAGATGAACTGCACAAAGGTCTTCTGCTCATCGGCGATGAGGGCCACCTGGAAGGTGTTCAGACGGTCCGTCTTGGAGTCGAAGTAACCCACATTGCGCCACGTGGCAACGATAACCTGGCGGGCCTCGAAATCGGGCTGGCTGGTAAAGGCGTAACGCACCAAACTGGTGGCTTTGTCGAGGATTCCTTGGTCCTTGGTCTCCAGCAAAGAGATCGAAGTTCCCTCGTCGCTAAACGAAGTGTCCACGTTCGAGTAGAAGGCCGCTATCGAGGCGTATTCCAGCGGGAAGGGCTGGTTCAGGTACTCGGGGAACTCTGAATTGAAAGTGAGGATGCCATTGGTGTTGATCTGGGGGATTGAGAAATAAACAGTCATTCTAAAATCAAATCAGGTATCTATCAAATTAATGAATTAGTTTCTTCATATTAAGAGTTTTAAAAGTAAGCTATCAATGTGGTCAATTTATTATAAAGAAACAAGATAGCTGGGCAATTTTCTTTTGGTGTATGGGAATAAGGAAGTTTCACTCGGGATCGTTTGAAGTGGAAATACTTGGCCTCCATATGGCGTGGCAATTAGTGAGTGCCGTGAAGTGCTAACGGGCCACTTAACTCCTAATGGGCCTTCTCCTGGCGGAAACAAAACAACAACAAACCATTAACAAGGCGGCAAATGATCTGACGAAGGGATGTGTTCTCGAGATACATTTTAGGCGATCTGCTACTGGGCCTCCTAATTGAGTCCTCGGCCGACATCCGCCTAACAGTTTGTCTAAAAATAGCGGCATCTCCAGCGATGCAACAGGCAATCTGAATAAACAAGCCCGGAAATGGAGCACAGGTGTTCGAGAAATGCCTTTCTTGTGGCTGCCGACGGGCTGCAGCATAAATCATGTCTCTTCTCTGGCACCACGGGTTCCATTCATCTCGGCAGGGGAACGCGCCATGTCTGGAAATTCCGGCACATTGGCAGGTGATTTGTACTGACTTCGAACTCCACATGGATAATAGACAGGCCGCAATAGATGCCAAATTGAGGTTGGGAAAGCAAACATCAAATGCTGCATTCTTGCTTGGCCTATTTTACACACTTGAAATACTCCAGATTTGGACTAGCTTTGGATTTCAGTCAGAAGTTTGCAACGCAGTGAAGGAGACGTTTCCGACCCTACAATGTATATATATTATGGATCAGCATCACTAGACGAGTCGATCTAGCCTTGTCCGTCTGTCCGTTTCTACGCAAAATAGTCTCTCAGTTTTGAAGGAATAATGTTTATACCCTTGCAGAGGGTATTATAATTTCAGTCAGATGTTTGCAACGCAGTGAAGGAGACGTTTCCGACCACATAAAGTATATATATTCTTGATCAGCACCAATAGCCGAGTCTATCTAGCCATGTCCGTCTGTCCGTTTCTATGCGAACTAGTCTCTCAGTTTTAAAGCTATCGCGATGAATCGTTCCCGAAAGTCGTCTTTCTATTGCACGTAGTACATATGTCGGAGCTCCCATAGGAATATTCAAACAAATATAAGAAAATTCACTGTAACTTTGTAGGAAGTAGGCGTTTTGATTTTTGACAACTTTAAAACAAAATTTAAATAACAGGCACGCTGAATCTGGAATCCCTGGAACTGCACCGAGTGATCATTAAACTATAGGTGTTTGCTTTATCTGCAAGGGTATATAAGCTTCGGCTGGCCGAAGCTAGCTTCCTTTCTTGTTCTATATGTTTCTGAATTTTCGATTAAATTTAAAAAAAATCGGACGTCTATATTATATAGCTGCCATAGGAACGATCGGAAAATTAATGGGAAAATAATAGGAAACAAATTATAGCTCCGTTGGTTATTATTGTATTATCTTCTACTCTAGGATATGACTTTTTTTGAATATATCCGAATTTCGAAATACATTTCAGAAAAATCGGACGACTTTGTTATATAGCTGCCTTAGGAAGGACAGAAAAAATAATGTTAAAATAATTGGAAATTTAACATTTTTTTGATTTCTAAATTAATAGAAAAGATCTGCAAGGGTATATAAGCTTCGGCTGGCCCAAGCTAGCTTTCTTTCTTGTTTGGTAAGTTATTGCAAACTAAAAGCAAAATGGAAGTCTCAGGAAGGCCAAGAATATGTGTGGTTAATCACAACTTTCTAGTATTTGTAGTTTCCGAGATATCAGCGTTCATGCAGACAGACAGTCGGACATGGCTAGATCGACTCGGGTAGAATATATATACTTTATAGGGTCAAAATGGTCTTAGTACCATTTGAAGAAGTCAATAAAACTATTCAATTGGTATTTCACGTGTAGCAGATTTTCCATTCTGGTGTGTGATTCGTCACTACGTGGACTTTTTTCACAGTGATATTTTTGCACATTAGAATAATTATACCCGTTACTCGTAGAGTAAAAGAGTATATTATATTCGTGCAAAAGTATGTAGCACCTAGAAGGAGGCGTTTCCGAACCCATGATATATTCTTGATCAGGGTCACTAGACGAGTCGATCTTGCCATGTCCGTCTGTCCGTCTGTCTGTCCGTCCGGATGAACGCTGAGATCTCGAAAACTACAAAAGCTAGAAAGTTGGGTTTACAAACACATGTTCTTGGGCTTCCTATGCAGCGCATGTTTATTTCAGCCGAGAGCCACGGCCCCTCTAAAGCCCAAAATCGCCCACTAACGTTTTAAAATGTGTTTGGCGCCCACACCAAAAAATATACTTACATATATGCAATCGAAATGTAGAAGACATTTTTTAAATCAGATCATTCATTAAAAATTTATGCGCAAACAAAATGTTATATATCCATCTCCCTCGCACTCCCTTTAGGTGAGTTGACGGGTATTAGATAGTCGGGACACCCACCCGACTACAGCGTTCTCTCTTGTTTTCATCTCCTCTCACAACATATTAATAAACAAATTAAAGAACTACACTATTTTCAATTTTTTAACATTTTGTTAATTTGATATTTTCCAATAACATATTTGTTATTAATGATTATAAGCAATGTTTCCTTATCGAAGAGGTATACAAATTTTAGGTTTTTTGACTGGACCCCAGAAGAAATCTAGGGGTTATTCACACGCTATAGTAGATTATATGTGCCGAGTCTATTTATACGCGGGCGTTATGGTTTCGACACCAATTTGACCCAAGAGCTTTGGAACAGCAATAGGTTCCTGTGATCTCTTCGACCATTCCGTCAAGGAATTTCAATGAAATTTATGGATTTCTATGGCCATTGTGCCCGTTCCGGCTCGTTCCGATTCTTTGCCGCGTGCTATTTCTCTACGTCAGACACATAAATTCAGTTAATTAACTAACAAAATGCAGAGCAGATAAAAAGGCGTTCAAAAATAGGCGACACTAGCAGAAGACACTCTCCACTCGGAGAACTCATAACTTTGGCTGCCAAGTGCCGAAACCACTCAGACACTCGGATGCTCAGAACTCTGGCATCTGGCACTTGGCCAACGCGGCAAAGCGACATCAATGGGTTCGGTTTTTGGTCTTGGACCACCCTCAAGAGGCTGCGGATTGTAGCTGCGGACACGAGTGTGTGCCATGCGGATTGGGATTGGGACACCCATGCGAGTGGGGTGTGTGGAAATCGATGTGCGACCTGTCATGTCATGTTTTTGCCGAAAATTAATGTCGCCTAAAAATACGCGGGCCACAACAAAGCAGGCTGCCCCCTCGGAAATAGAAAAATAGTAGTCTAGAAACCATTAAACCGCGTTGTAAATATTTGCATATTGATTGCCCCTTATCGACTCGAGCAGGCTGCAAATTCATTCAGTGCACAATCTTCGCGTTACTTTGTAGCAGCGCTGAACCCTGAAGTCTTATTAAAAGGGGGTATACCACTACTCACATGCAGCTGCTCGTACTGCTCCCCGTAGAAGTGAATGGGCTGCTCCAGTTGCAACTCGATCGTCTCGCTGTCGCCCTTGGGCAAATACTGGATGCTGCCCAGCGATCCCTCCTCGAACTCGTACAGCTCCGAGGATCGCAGGCTGTCCAGATAGTGCTCGAACTGGCCGCTGACCAGGATCACCGAGCTGAGCAGCAGGCAGGCCAGGAATTTACTGCCGAAGCTCGGCATTATGGCGGGATACAGGTGGTTCCTTTTTGGCTTATATATCTTATGCTTCTTTAACTTTGACACGCGAGGATTTCACAATTCCGCCAGAGGCATTTTCACACTAGACACAAACCGAATTCCTGAAACACTTTTGCTTTCGCCTCAAGTTTGATCCAAAAATATAGGCGGTTTATAAATAAAATGTGGCACTATCTATTCGACGAGCATATATAGAGGTGAATACCGTGAGTATAGTTTGACAGATTTTTGGAACTGTCGCTCCAAGTGGCGGCCCAGCTCCTCTGCTTTTGCTTTTCTTTTGCTTCCTTAGCACGCGAGCAAGGAAAACCGAACGAACCAAACGCCTTGCCAACAGATTCTCGACTGATTGGCCGTCGCCTCCGCAGTGGATTCTCCTCGACTCGGTGCTCATCCGTCCGTCACACTCGAGTATCTGTGTGAGCTGCTGGCCGGAGTGCGAGGCAGTGTGTGTTGGTGAGCGGCGGAAAGCGAGAGTTTCTCTGGAGGCCCCAGATACCACTCATCTATGCCCCGAATAGGATCCACAATCTGCAGTCCCAGCCAGATGCTGTTCGATTATGACAGTTCTTTATTGATGTTTACCATTAACAACGAAAGCATCGGTGGCTTTTGGAGGGAGTGCCTAATTATAGCCAAATAAAATAATCAGTTATCAATAGTTCAGATTAATCCGGAAGAATTATCGACCATACTGGTATTATTCAGAATCATGCTTATCTATTTTGTATATAGTTCTTCTCAAAAATTCGTGGGAATCGTTCTGAATATTTATATTGCCATTTCTCTAATATTATTTTTCTTAAAAGCAGGAAATTCGTGGAAATCATGAAAAATGTTTGTATTTCTACCTACGTATTTTTAAAAATTAAATGTTTGACTTAAAACGTCCTGTCCTTCATTTAATAAGTTCTATTTAAAATTGTATTTTCTGTATTCTTAAGTTATGGCTCTAAACAGACATAAATTAAAGCAGAAATACTACACATGTATAATGCCCAAACCATATATCAATTGGAACCAACAATACATTTTGTTAATAGTCCTACATATGTCCATACATTTTGTAGCGAGATATTCAGAAAATTTATTTATGTATAATCACTCCTGATTTTTTGGGAGATTCTCAAGTTGAAGTCTCCATAAATTGCAATGACAACTGTGATTAATGTAATATTTCATTGATTGTTCAAATGAATAGATTCTCCTGACCACATGGTCCCTTTAGATGTCAGAATCCGTTTTCAAAACGCGGGCTTGTGGTCTGGGCTTCCCTTAAACATTGATGGAACTAGTTACTTTCAGACGTTCCAATTCTAGAGAACTAAACTTGAGGCGGCACGTGCCGCTCTATTGCTCTTGCCCCCCAAAATTCCCCATCGCTTGCCACCGTGAAGCGCCGTGAACGAAGGGAGGAGCGTATACCTTCTATACAGACGCATCCGAGTCCACACGCATATCCACACCCATTCCTCAAGTCTGGTCCCCACTCCAAAACTTTTTAAACAGTGGTGCCTAGTTGGATTTTTCTGGATTTCTGATTTTATGTAAGAATGTGACATCTACACCCAGAGAAATGTGGGACTATTTTTTGGGTAACGTATGACCAAAACAAGAGAGAACACTATAGTCGGGTTCGTGCCCCGACTATCTAATACCCGTCACTACCCGTACAATCTAATCGGACGTCTAATCGGACCATTCATTAAAAAGTTATACGCAATCAAAATTGTTTATATATCTATCTTTCTCGCACTTCCTTTAGCTGATTACGATTATTAGATAGTCGGGACACCAACCCGACTATAGCGTTCTCTCTTGTTAGACTTAGCTTAAAGCTAGTGATGAAAAAGTTTCAATATATAAAATCAATAGCAACGTGGACTATTTTCCTACTTTTAAAGTAATAGTGAACTATTCTAAAAATAGAATTCGCTTGTGCCCCTAGAAGCAGCCTTTGATTTAGCCGCAGAGATCTTAAATAGTTCCATAGATCAGAGGCTAGCCTATTGGACTCTCGCGCAGAAGTCCGGGGATCGATTCCCATCGAAAATAATGATGGTTTTTTCAGAAAGGCAATTAAGCAATTAAAATAAATAAATGTTACTATTTATATTTATAGAATTCATAATTATTTCTAGAATCTTAGATTAAATTTAAATTAAATTGTATTAAAAAATTGTAAATCTACGCCCAGAATAGGGAGCTGATTTTGTACTTTTTCAACCATCACTGCTCCACTCCACTCCCCGTTTTTTCGGAGGGGTGTGCGAGTCGAAAATAAACAAATGTTAAACTTCTGAGGCAGCGACGCAACGTCTGCGCCTTGACTGATGATGATCGGGTGCTGGAACCCAAGACGCAACTGGAACCGATGACGGAGGATGGGGGACGGCAGTTGGACTATTTATGATGTATTTCTCGGTTAATTAGTTGCAGCTGAACGCAGCGGAATGGGTGTGGGAATGGAATTGGGATCGGGGATGCTTCCGCATGCATTTGCTAGACATCAGCCCAGTCATCTTCAGCCGACCAGAAGACCAAAAGAAAGTGCGTGGCTAGGGCCCGGATAATATTTGCTATATTTGGATATTGCTCCGCTTGATCGGTGATGGATGCCTGGGCCTTTTCATCATTTATCTTCGAGTGCAGCGGGCTAATGGAACTGCAATGGGTTCCAGGAACTGGAGCGGAACGATGACGACGATGGTCATGATGACGCTGCACCCGGACAGACTGCTCGGCCAATTTCGGGTGGAGTAATTAAAAAGGTAAATTGGGCCCCAAATTAAAAGCCATTAAATGTTACGCAAAATTACACTGCCAAAGTGACTGCTCAGTTATAAAAGCCACTGACTTCCAGATTAAATTAACCCTGGCATTGCAGAAAATGAGGTCCCACCAGCTGCCCGGATTTTTGCTCCTCCTCCTGACCGTTTGGGTCGGCGGCAGAACTACTACTCCGGACTTGGACGAGGATTGCGAGCTGAATGCTGTCGATACAATGGTAAGTGGAATCATCGCAAGAGGCAAATATTATACAGAGAGGAAAATCATCTTACAACTTTAAGGTTTAATACAATTTTTATTGCAGCATGACTTTTGCTGCGACCTGCACGACGAAAGTCCGCAGTTTAGCGACTGCCAGACGAAATGGCACGACAAGATCCGCTACGAGACGGACGAGGAGGAGCAGACGTACATGTTTGTGAGTTCAGTGCAGGAGGATAAACAAATATTCCACTAATTGTGTAATCAGTGCACCGCAGAGTGTAGTTTCAACAATACCGAGTTCCTGGGCACGGATCGTCGATCGCTAAATCTGGTCGAGGTAAAGGAGCATTTGGAGAGCGACCTGGTCAACGATGCGGACGTGGAGCTTCTCTATGACACCTACGTCAAGTGCGACAAGCATGGTGCGTTTGAGTTGCACGAGGTATTAATGCCTCAATGAACTTAAGCTGACTGCCTCTTTCAGCGCTCTCGCTTTTGCCGCACAAGGGAGTTAAGCAGCTGGCCAGACGCCTCGCCCGCCACGGCTGTCACCCGTATCCCGGTTTGGTCCTCGAGTGCGTGGCCAACGAGATGATCCTCCACTGCCCGACGAAGCGATTCCGTAGAACAGCCCAGTGCGAAGAGACCCGCAATCATCTGAAGCAATGTATGCAGTATCTAAAGTACAAATCCTAAAGTTGGATTAAAGACACAAACAGCACTAGCAGCTTACAGGTTTATTGTCCTTCGATATAACTTAACTATGACTAAGGCGGGATGCTTGGCTAGCTAGCGATCTTGACCAAATCGCCATCTACTTGCAGGGAGTCGGCGAGCCTGAGTTGCTTGTCGAAGCGTTTCTGGAACTTCTTGGCCTGCTTTTCGGTCAAATCCTCGACGGACAGATGCTTTGCGTACTTCTTGAGCAGCTTCTTGCGCAGTTTTTCCACAAAAATGCCATCAGCCTGCTTGGAGACGAGTTTGGTCAGCTGGGCAGGCCAGTCAAAGTCGCTGGAGATGCCATTGGCGTTCTCCCCGGCAGCCGCATCCTCGGTGGGCTCCAGCTTGGACTTCTTCTTGGGTGGCGCCTCATCCTCGGCATTCTCCTTCTGCTTTTGCTGCAGTGCCGCCGCCTTTTCCGCCTTCTCCATGGCCAGCTCCGCCTGCTTTGCCTCCTTCATTTTGTTCATCTCCTTCTCGAGGATGTCCCACACCTGGGTGGCCTGCTGGCGGGGAATCCTGATGCAGTTGGCCACGAAGTTCTCGAACTTGGCCCTCTTGCGCGGCACATTGTCGACGCTCTGCAGCTTCTGGAAGGCTGATCTCACAGGCGGGGTTAGGTTGTACTCGCTGCTGTCGAGGATCGCACGGATGATGTCCATCCAGCTCTCCTGCTTTTGAGCATTCTTGTTGCGCGGCTCCTTGGCGGCGAATCCGCCACTTTGGCTGGCGTACTTCTGGGCCTCGGAGATGCACTTGGTGTGGGCCACGTAGTCCTCGCCGTAGAAGTCCTTCAGGCAGTCCATGCAAGACACGTTTTTGTTATTCCCGCGACAGCGCATCTGGTAGTGCTTCTCCACCGCCGGCTTCTTCACCGACTCGCCGCAGATGTTGCACGTAAAGAAGACCATGGTTCCCTAGTCGCAGATCTCTTGGTTTATGTGGAATCCTGGGAGTTATAGGGGAATTTCGGTTGAAATCGGAGCCGGCGGAGGCCAAACAAAACGCACGTGGACCTAAATGTGACCGTGCACCAAAAGGCAGAAACGCCTTAAATTTAGTGTTGGTCAGCATCGCTACCAGGGATGCACACTATAAAATAAAAAAATTAATTAATTAATTGAGTTAAATTAATTGTTATAATTAATTCTTTAATTAAAAAATTAATATTACTTTTCCTGAAACTGTTAAAAAGCTGAATTTTTAAAAAATTCGACAGATAGTTTTTTAGTAACGTGTTGCTGTTCTATAAAATTTTAATTTTTAGAAATTTAAATCGCAGAAAACCAAAGTTGTTACCTCAAAAAAATATCAACAACAAGTATTATACTTTTAAAAAACTAAATTAAAGTGCATATTAGTAGTTATGTATAATTTTAGACAAAAACGAGCACTAAAAAATACAAATTTATTAAATTTTAAAGTTCAACAGAAACCAATTAGGGTCGTTTCCCTTCTGGCTAATATGTTCTGTTGAACTTTCCACAGTTGGCCAACTCAACAGTTGAGGGAATTGCCATTAAACATATTGCACATGTAAAACATACATATTTTTGGTTTCAAAATTTGGTGAAATCAGCAGTTTCATGCATATTTAATTGTGAAATTTAATAACAAACATGTTATTGACCTATCCATTTCTTAAAAAGTAATATGCTTTATACAATTTAAATACAAATTGTTATAAACTTAAAAATTAATTAAAAGTTTTTTTTATGATTTGGAACCTTTGCCATAGTTTGTTCGATATATCGCAACTGTACTGTCATCACTAATTGCAACAGCTGTTCGCAGACACACGTTGCCGCGGCTGACGAAATCCATGCGAATAGTTTTGGTGAAATCCCCGGGTTACTCCCTGTTTACTGGAAGTTCAACGACGCCGACGAAGTACGCATGTATTTAGCGAGGTCCACCGGGTCGCCAATCTATAGAACTCTGCGAACACTCACGACGAGTACATCGATGGCGGCCACAATTGCCTCCGCCAAGGATCCGCTAACAGGACCTCGCTATGAGCGGGAGCCGAATGTCCTGAAGAAGAAGCTGGCCTCCGTGGTGCCAGGAACCGTGAATCTCCAAGTCCTGGGCTCCGGCGCCAATGGAGCGCCGGCCGCAGTTTATTTGTTTACGGATCAGGCGCGGTACTTATTCAATTGCGGCGAGGGAACCCAGCGATTGGCCCACGAGCACAAGACCCGACTCTCCCGCTTGGAACAGATCTTCCTCACCCAAAACACGTGGGCATCCGCCGGTGGCTTACCCGGTCTGACACTGACCATCCAGGATGCCGGAGTGCGCGACCTGGGGCTCCATGGACCACCCCATCTCGGCTCTATGCTGCAGTCAATGCGACGCTTTGTGGTCCTGAAGAACCTCCAGGTGCGGCCCATCGATTGCTCCGAGGGCGCCTGCTTCGAGGACTCGATCCTTAAGGTGGACTCCCTGCCGCTGATTAGCTCAGAAGATGCAGCGAAAAGTGTGATCAACTACGTCTGCCAGCTGAAACCCCGTGCTGGCGCTCTGAATTTGGTCAAGTGTGTGGAGAAGGGTGTGCCGCCAGGACCTCTGCTGGGACAGCTCAAGAACGGAAAGGATATCACCCTGCCCGACGGAACTGTCGTGCGATCTGCCGACGTCACCGAGGCCAGTGAAACTGCTCTCTCCTTCGTGTTTCTGGATGTTCCTTCCGAGGATTATCTACGTGCACTCCTGACACACGGCAAACGGCTCAAGAAGTTGGGCGAAGAGAAGCTCACCGAAGTGGCCCTGGTGGTGCACTTCACGCCTTATCAAATGGCTTCTCGGCAGGAGTATAGGGATTTCCTAGAGGATAACTTCTCACCCGGCACCCAGCACATCCACTTAAGTTCCCCCTTAAACCAATTCTCTGGCTATGCGGCTGCCCATCGCATCCAACACCAGTTGCACCAGCTGGCCCCGCAGGTATTCCCGCTGCTGGGCGAGCAGCTTCCGTGCCAGAGTCAGTGCCTCAGCCTGAACTTGAAGAAAACTAAGCTGGATGAGGCCGATGCCGACGAAGCGGCGAATGCTAAGGGTGCCGAGCAAGAGGAACAGGGCGTGGTGGCCATGACCAGCTTTCACCTGCGGCCGAGAAAGGGTGGGTACTAACTTAAAATACCACTCAATATATCCTTCTATATATTTGTTTACTTCCACGAAGGTCTGGATCGCACCCTGGAGTCCAAGCTGACGCCCGAGGAGTACGTCAAGGAGACCCACGCCGTGCCCGGCTTCATCGAACTCTTGGCCAAATACAAAGAAGACTATAGTTTCCCCCACAACTCTGCCAACAGCTACCCAAAGATTATTTTCCTGGGCACCGGCTCCTGCATTCCCAATAAGACGCGCAACGTTAGCTCTATTCTGATAAAGACTGCGATCGATGCCTACGTACTGTTGGACTGTGGAGAAGGCACCTACGGCCAGATTGTGCGTCTTTACGGCCGCGACCAGGGGCAGAAGATTCTCCGTCAACTGCAGGCGATTTACGTTTCGCATTTGCATGCCGATCACCACATCGGACTAATTGGTTTGCTAAGAGAAAGGAGGCAACTGGAACCGAAGGCTAGCCCGCTAATATTGCTGGCCCCTCGCCAAATCGATCCTTGGCTGGAATTTTACAACCGGCAGATTGAAACGATAGAGGATGCCTACACGCTGGTGGCCAACGGCGAACTCCTGGCTACTCCCCTCATCGGGGAGAAAGTTGATCCTCTGGGCATCTCATCCATATCCACCTGCCTGGTAAGGCACTGCCCCAACTCATTCGGAATAAGCCTCACACTGGCAGCTAAGTACAAAGACGAACCCGTGAAGATTACGTACAGCGGCGACACCATGCCCTGCCAGGATCTGATCGATCTGGGCCGCGACTCCACGGTGCTCATCCACGAGGCAACCATGGAGGACGACCTGGAGGAGGAGGCGAGATTGAAGACGCATAGCACCGTGTCGCAGGCTATTCAGCAGGGTCGTAATATGGACGCTCGCCACACGATTCTCACCCACTTTTCGCAGCGTTACGCGAAGTGCCCGCGGTTACCGAGTGACGAAGATATGCAACGAGTGGCCATTGCCTTCGACAATATGGAAGTGACCCTTGAGGATTTGCAGCATTACCATAAGCTCTACCCCGCCCTGTTGGCCATGTACGCCGAATATACGGAAGAACTGGAGCAGCGGGCGGTTAAGCGCGAGCTAAAACAGGAGCGAAAGCGCAAGTTGGCAGAAACGTGATCGAGGAGCAGGTTAATTTATTCAATCAGCTACTGTTATACTAATATTAGGGACGAGTTGTAAATGTTAAGTTATGAAGCTAGGCCTTAAACTCATGAAATGTACCCAAACGCCTGGAATATATAGGTTTTATATATGTTTTAGTACAGTACAAAACTCTTCATATAAACAATATTTATATACAGCCGTGCATCTAAGCGGTATATTGATTTTGGTGTTACGAGTTATATTTTCAGTTCCCCCTGAAATCCAATAATAAATAATGCAATCCAAATTGTTTTTTAGTTTCTTCTTTATTTACTAAATACGCTTGCAACAGTGTCTGTGTAATAAACGCTTTTTGTAATGATTTTAAAATGGTTTCTGTTGGTTCGGACTCGACAATATCATCATAAATAATATTAATAATTATCAATAGTAATTATCCACTTTGCCGACTCAACAAGGGGCACTTGAATCCTAGCATTTTTTTTTGCTTTTAGTCATTTAAATTTCAACTTTAAGGCACTTTAGTTCAACGGTCTTCACTTCTTTTTTTGTAATTGATTTTCTTTTTGGAAATTAGCTGTGACTAGTTAAAATTAGTAGGTAAACGACAAAGTATATATATGTATGATCTTAATTTAGGTCCTTCGATATTTGGTGTGTGTGTGTTTGGGTGAACGGGGTGTCGGAGTGGGGAGGTGGAGGGGACAACTTCTGGTTAATATTTGCATCTCATAAATAAACGTAATTCCAACATTGATATAATTAATGCTCTGTTTAAAAATAAATAAATAGCTTTAAATTACGGCAAAACGAAAGCAGCAGAATTAGCGGGATAAGAATTATTCAACAACAACATAAAATAATCCAGTAAAACCAAGTCAGAATTAATGATAGAACTGCCTTCGCCCCGGCCACGCTGATTCCTCCTCATATTAGACTACAAATTCATTAAGATTAGAGACGAACGCCGATCCGGGGGCAGGATCTTACTTCGATCTCCTCTAGGCCCGTTCCACGTAGTTGCCGGGGAATGTGCCGAAGCAGCCGGTCCTCTGTGAGGTGCCCACGAACCATCCGTCGTCGCACTTCTCTAGCACATGGACCACATCTCCCTCGAGCAGTTCCAGTTCGTCGGAGTTCTGGGGCCGGTACTTGTACAGGGCTCGATACCTAAAAGGTACAAAATTAATGATTTTTCTGCAACTCACTAAATAAGTGATATTTTTGAAAAGAATCTGTGTTTTTAAATTCCTTTAAAATGGTGTCTAAAAGCTAAATAAGCAGTAAAATATTAAACCTTTAGATACATTTATAGGAATTTCAAGCTAATTGTTATTTCACAGATAAATTTAATTTATCTTCTCATATAATATAATATTCCCTGGATAACTTACGCCAATGGCTCGGAACTGGTGTCCACGTGGAGGGCGTCCGTCTTGTGGAGCGTCCGCGTTTCCTTGAGGATTCCATTCGGTGGCTGGGCTCCATTTTGCGTGAGCGTGTTGAACTCATTGTTGATGTTTGTGCGCAGCACGTCGAGATTGGGCCGCAGATTTGTCGTGCTTTGGGTGGTGATCACGGTCGTAGTCCGGGCCGCTATGTCCTCAGCACCAATATCCGTGAGTACCTGTCGTTTTAAACACAATTAGCAATTTAATGGAAAATGTTTGTAAATAAACTTACTTCCACATAGGAGCACGGGAAGATGCCCTTCCTGTTGGCAATCTTGCCCTCGAACCAGTTTCCGTCCACTCGGCGTGTCAATGTTACCAATTCGCCCTTGTTCAAAGAGAGTTCGATGCCCGATTGGGCCTGGAAGTTGTATTTGGCACGGGCCTGGCCTTCCGATGGCCGCTTGGATGGGGTACGGGCGCCATCTCGACTGACAATCTGGAATTGAGAAATAGATGGATTAATTGACGCATACTTCAAGCTAACAATTATAATGATTAATAGCTATATTACTAATTTTGTTTCTAGAACAAAACCTATTTCCTATGCGTCACTTTATTTTGAAATTGCTGAACATAACTAAAAAACAATGTTTATTCATCTGACTTTTTCATTATGTACACTAATTTGAACACCTCATGTTTTATCTTTAGAATGTTCTATTTTAGGGAATGCTCTTAATTATTGTAAAATCTAGTACTTTTGTAACCCTAGCAATCATGTTTAAATGGTATTCAGCTTTGAGATCGGGAATTCGTAAGTTTATTAACTAAATTTCCGTAAAATGCAAGCAAATATGAACAAACAAGTTTAAATATGAAACATTTAACATTTCACCAACATACAAGTGAAGAGTTTACCCTCCAATCACCATCTCCAGCTGATCACTCACCTCAACATAACTGGCTGGGAGCAGTCCAATCATGGCATTGTGCTCGCCCTCGTACCAATTGGCATCGATCTGCCGCCTGATGTAGATGGTGTCGCCCTTTCGGAACGAAAGCTCCCTGGAAAGACACTGAATTTAATATTGCTCAAGGGACTTATTTCGGGGGTACCCACTTGGAGCTCTGTCCCTGGAAGTTGAAGAGTGCCCGGGCCACCGTCTTGGGACCCACCAGCGACTTGAGGGTCACGTCCGTGGGGAAGTCATCGTAGCGATTGAGGGCGATGGGCGACTTCTGCGACGGCGTGAAGTTGTCCGTGTGGCGGCGCGAGTTCATGTCCTGCAGCTCCTGTAGATACTTGCGACGGCGCTCCTCGTGGTAGAGCTTCTGCATGTGCTCCGCTTGGCGAATGGCTAGTTCCTCCTCCGGCACGTTCTGGCGCTGCTCATGCCTGATCGGGGTCTTGAAGTGGATGTTCACGTCTGTGGCATAGTAACGATTGGGAGACTCTGTTCAGATGAGAGGCACAAGGCGGCAAGATGGGGTTTTCAGGCGGCTCAAGCAATGCGATGAGTCTTTGGCTGTGTTGGTTCCCCCTAATTGGACTTATAATCTACAGTAACCCCATAATAAGTTTGAATTAAGAATCCATTTTCGTCGAGTGTACTCGGTGTTTACCCCACAAATAGCTAACTTCTGTCGCCATCGTAGTTTTCCCAGTCGTAAGACGATCTAACCGCAAATAGTCGCTTCTGTTACGAAACACTGGCTTATCTGGGAGTCGGGTGCGGCGCACATATCTGTCTGCCAATTGGTAGGCAAATAAACAGCCACCACATGGCCCCCACCCACCTGATACCCCCCATTCCACAATCTCAAATTGAATTAGGCAGCTCTCTCAAATGGAGAATGAGCTGCAATTGAAGTTAATGCTCGTTAGCCTAACAATCTGATAATTGGGGTCTGAAGTAAATAAAGGCAGCAGTAGAGTTCCGCTAAGCCAGCTGACCTCGCGATAAGACTGTTTCTTATTTGCATGCGAATCACTCGGAGTTACTCATCGCCTTAAATGCCCCGATTCCATGCCGTTCAATTGATGCCTATAATGGAATTGCGCAGCAGGCGGCCAACTGATTAAGATGGAATATAACTTCAGAATCTATTGACCCGATTCGAGAAAATCTCAAGGGGAAAACCTCGGACGAGGAATGGGGGTAGGTGGAAGTGGAAGGGGTAGTGGTGTGGCAGCTGCACAAATATTTCTACGGCAAATAAGCCATGAGCCGCAAAGCTTTGTCTTCGAACAACAACAATTAACAACAGCTTTGTACGTGCTGTTTACGCCAAGTGAAGAAATGAAAAGAGAGGTTTAATTGACACTCGGGGGATTGGGATTTTCACTTTCACTGATTCGCTGCGGCATATTTTTGCCAGCGTTTGAAAGTGCTTGCACAGAGAAAAATCGTGGTGCTATCAATTTGATAGTGCTATCTGCTCTTATGAAGAGTTTTAGCCTTATTTTTAACTATCAAGGTAATTCTACTTGTAGCACATTCTTATGAGTTAAATGTTTATTTAAAATTTGATAAGGGCTTCATTGTAATTCGCGGAAACTGTTTTCTGAAAACTTATGACTCTGATCAGTAAGATTCAAATCTAGATAGAACACTTTGAATAATAGAGGTAATATTTCCCCTATAAGACATAAACACAGACACACGTAAGCCTTTCAAGGCTCTTCTAGCATTTCACGCTCAATTAAGTTTTTAAACGATTTTCTTTACTGTTTTCTGGGGTGAGCACTCATTAGTCACAACAATCAATCAGAATCAGAATCCGAATCGAAGGCTGAGCCAATTTTCTGATAATGCGGAGGAGAATCGGCGACAACAACAAAGCTTCGCGCTTCACTTGAGCCGGAGAAAGAGACGGGGAGAAAGGGTGCAGAAAGAGAGAGAGGGACCAGTAACCGACTTTACCGTAGCACGCGTAGCGCTCAACTGAAACCGAAATCGAAATTGAATGGGGGCCCCAAGGCAGCTAAGCTATACGGAGAGATAGAGACAGATGGGGAAGGAGAAAGAGCAGAGAAGAAAGAGAGGGAAGACCAGAAGACGAAGCTTCGCGTCTACGTCAAAGACTTTTCGACTCTCTGCCGGGTGAGTAATTCCCAGAGATAGCGGCGTTCGTATTACTACAAGTTCCGTTTTCTGGCGGCGCCGCCTCACGTTTAATTGTTGTTTTTGTCTCTGTTGTTGTTGGTGCTGTGGGGTGTGTGAATTGCTTGTTGGCGGCACAGTGGCTCAAAACGGTTACAAATACCTCAATTTATCACGACCCAAAGAAGTGCAGATAATAATTATTTTTTGTAGGAAATAACTTGGGAATAAACAAAACTTTTATGTACCTGAAAATAATTTTTTTCCATTTAAAAAATAAATTGTTATCAGATGTCAGAAATAAAATGGTTATTAACTTAAATATTTTCCAGGACCAACAACCAAAATCGTTAATGCTCTTTTAATAGAAAAATAGATCTGGTATGCAGTACAATATTCTCAGATTAAACCCAATATACAGAAATATACTTCCCACTGTTGCTGCTTCATGTTGATCATAGTAAAATAAAAGCTTTTCCTTGCATCTACTGATACAGCCTCAAGCTTTTATCAAAGTCTTTGGGATTCGAACGTGAGGAGCGTGGCCAAAAGCTGAACTCTCTTTTAGCCACCTCTCTTCAGCAAACTCAGGCGGCCCAGGTGATAACGAGTTTTTGCCTTTTTTGCAAAAGAAAAACCGTGAGAAAGTGCAAAACAGGAAGGTCGCTTAGTCAAATGAGAAAGTGCAAAGCGAACGAGGCGGTGGGAGCTGGAAAGGGGTTCAATCGATCGCTTGACTTTCTTTTATCTCGCTGGGGCCTATCTGCGGTTGGGGTAACAGTTAAAAACAGATGAAAGAAAAAAAATCGCAGCTCACCCTCAACATACAAACATTTTAATACAATTTTTGAAAAATAAGTTTTTCTCAACATAAAAAAAATGTTATCTTTACAGATTTGCTTAAAATTCCCCTGGTAAAATATAGTACCTATTATGCCACCACTCGAATGAAAATAAAAGGAAATTGAGTATTCAAAAATCATGCAACAAAAAACAAAAATTTGTTTTAAACCAAATTATGGATCCGCCACAAAGTCCGTAGATCCTATCTTAATATGATTTTTAGACGACTACGAGCTAAATACTAACTGCTGGGCCACTGATGTTGCAGCTTTTGGTAGTTTAACTGCTGTCGCTGTTGCAAATGCTGCTGATGCTGGTGCTGCTGCTGCAGCAATTGCTGTTGCTGCTGCCAGAGAAGCAGCGGCATGGAAGCCCCAATGGCCCGTTGGTTGGCAAGATAGGCCTGCCTTTGGTGGGGCTGCGGCGTGTGGGGCAGTCCCACCACGTGGTAGCCACCAGCACCCGGGACACCCTGATAGTTTAAGGGGGACGGCGGTCTCAGGGGAGCCGGAGTTCCCTCGTAGTCATATCCCCGACGGTGTATCCACAGGATTTTTCCGCAGTTCGGTATATCGCAAGCATTGTTGTTGCTGCTGCTCATGGTGGTGATGTTGCTGGCATTACGGATATTGCTGTCACCTCCACTGCTCTGAGGCCTTTGCCAGGGATTTTCGTTAATCTCCGGGCCGCGCCACAAGCTTTGATCCGCCACCGGAAATCTTTCATCCTCCAGTTCCAGGTCATTGCAGCTGCGATGCAGCTTCTGCCGCCAGTGGACCGCCTTGCTCTTGGAATAACTGGAGGATTGGCTGCGGTGCGGCGCCAGCGTTTGATGGATCATACTGCCGCAGTTGCATAAGACATTTAATTGCGATTTTCACCGAGCGCAACCCGAAAGACACGTTTTTTTGGCACGGAAAAGTGAAACTGACTAACGGCCGCGACAGGTACCCATGTGTATTCCCGAGTTTGTTTTGTTGACGGCATCGTCTTGGCCATGGCAACGCGAACGAACTGCAGGCCGGCAAGGTGAGCCACCCCCAGCCAGGCAGCAACAAAAAGCAGCAGTGCCACCACCCACGGACAGGTGGGTGGTTCGGGTGGTTCAGGTGGCCCAGGTGGTGAGCTAAGCAGGTCAGGCCCGTCCGCGTGGCCGGCATTCTCATTGGAGATATCGATTAATTTGGTCAACCGAGGCACGGCGCGCCTTCAAAGCGAAATTGCACCAATTGCGGAAATTGCCCGTCGTTGCGGTAGTAAAAATGCTTTTAACAAAGGTCAACGAATGACAGTGGCTCGGAGCAGGGCACAAAGGAGGCACAAAGGTCCTGGCTTATATATAGAAGGACAACTATAATTGCTCCTTTAACTAGCTTCATTGAGCTGTAACATGGGCCTAATTATATTTATTTTAAGTTATCCGAATACTCGACTAATAAATTGGTTTAGGAGTTGAATAAGTACTTGTTAAGAGAATAAGGATACCATTTCATAAAAAATTCGTTAAATTCTTTAAAAAAACCACAGTGGTTCATGTTTTAGTATTAAACCAATAAAACTTCCTAATAAAACTTACAAGATAAAACTAAAACGGGGAAATTCATGGTGTAACAAGAGAGAACGCTATAGTCGGGTTGTTGTCCCGACTATCTAATACCCGTCACTCAGCTAAAGGGAGTGCGAACGCTGTGTCGGGTTGGTGTCCCGACTAATAATCGTAACTCAGCTAAAGGGAGTGCGAGGGAGATAGATATATAATTTTTGATTGCGTATAACTTTTTAATGAATGGTCCGATTTGAAAAATGTCTTCTACATTTCGATAGGTATAAATATACACAACAAAATTGCATTTATACTTCTCGGAAATCTTTAAAGATGTGGGCGCAGGACCCATTTTAAAATCGTTAGTGGGCGATTGTGGGCGTTAGAGGGGGCGTGGCGCTCGGCTAAAATAAAGCCAAAGAATATGTGTGGGAAATCTCAACCTTCTAGCTTTTGTAGTTTCTGAGATCTCAGCGTTCATACAGACGGACAGACGGACAGACGGACATGGCTAGATCGACTCGGCTAGTGACCCTGATCAAGAATATATATACTTTATGGGGTCGGAAACGCTTCCTTCTAGCTGTTACATACTTTTGCACGAATCTGGTATACCCTTTTACTCTACGAGTAACGGGTATAAAAACTATTTAAATTACAAATCGTAGTCTTTTTTCCTATTAAAATGGGAACACTTTCATAAAATAGAAGCTTATCCTTTCGTCCTACATTTTTTAGTAATACGCTTTTTATCGTTTATTATACCCTTTCAGAACCTAACCTAGTCCTTTTTGTCCGTCCGTCTGTCTGTACGTTTGCACGCAAACTTGTCACCAGTTCTAAAGCTATCGGTATGAAACTTTCTTAAAGTCTACTTTTTATTGCAGGTTGTATCTAAGTCGGAACTAGCCAGATCGCAGAATAATATCCTTCACTTCTTATGCGGATGATCGAAAAAGTAACATAACAGAGAATATGCTTTTCTGAAGTTTACCACTTTTTAAGAGTTCGTTCTGTAACGCTTGTGGCAGATAAAGGGATTTGCAGAGCCACCTAGGGGTCAAACGGTGATGGTGCCGCCATCTACTTTTTGGCTGTGGTACTAACATTAGGCTAGAGGAAGAATTCTGGAGGGGAAAGGTTTTCGGAGACAAAGAAGTCATAGTCAGGGAGAGCGGTGGTAGCTCCAACCTAGATCCGCGCGCCACAATTGTTCTTTCCATTTTTGGCAGCAGCCATCTATAATTCTTGTAATTATTTAGGTTTGGCGCCTTATGGAGAATTATTAAAGACCCATAATCGAAGCTAAACACTCTGGAGCGAGCCGCTGAAAGCGAAACGACGACCCCCCATCCTGGCAAAAGGGAACATTGAGGATTTTAACTACTTTATTTGATACCAAAAGAAAGGCATTTTTTTAAACTTCTATCTCAGGGGCATAGGCAAATCAAGTGCATTTTGTGAGGGAATCGAGCCGCCAAGTCTCCAAAAAAGTAGTTCGATGCAACTTCAATCAACTCCGACCAGAGATTGAATTCGCCGGGAAAATCGCTCAATCCCATTTCCTCTCTCTCCCCCAACTCACCAAGCTTCGAGTGTGGTGGACTTGAGTGGAATTCTGAGCGAGCAGTTTTTTTTGGCCAGCGCGTACCCATGGCGATCCACAGTCGAATTTGTTATAGTATAGAAGAGAGGCCTGCGCCCCAAAAATCGCGAAAAAATTACCCTCGATGGACCGCGATTTCTAAGGAATTTACGTGCAGAAGATTATCGGCGGAAATGCATGGTTCTCTTGTGATTGCATTTCAAAGTGGCGTGTTTTGCTATAAAAACAAAGTAGCATTTTCTTGGATTTTTTGTTGTTTTGTGACATTTTGCTATAAAAAATATATGGGCTTTCCGTTTGTTGTCAAAATAATAGGCGTTCAAAAAAACTCGACAAAAATGTGAAATTGTTTTTATAGCAAGCCAGACCGCACATCCGTGAATTAAATATCCTCGATGGACCGTGATTTCTTAAGAGCTTTAGCGACCATGGATGACCAACATATACATTTTATAATGAATCTTAACAATTAACTATCCTCGGTGGACAGCATGCGCGGATCCACGGGGAGTGATATGGGTGATATATCACCCCCACTCGGGTGAAAAATGAATGAAATGTTGGTATTCAAAAAGTATGCAACAAAAAAATTGTTCTGATATCACCCCCCACAAAAAAATCCTGGATCCGCCACTGGATGACAGTGATTCCTTATATTCAACATATGCGTGTCTTATAAAATTATTATTACTTTACCTTCATAGTTAATTCTTAAGATTCATTTAAAAAATGTATATGTTGGTCATCCATGGTCGCAAAAATATTTTTTAAAAAATCGCGCGATTATTAGGGATCTTTTAGGAGTTTCTATCTATTCTGTCTGTCTGCGTGTCTGTATGGGATTATTCTCCCTCTATTTATTTTCCCTATATTCTGCCTATATATTTTTTGTGGAAATAAATGAAGGCTGAAGATTAAAGGACAAGATCACCACCCCACACAACCGACAAGGAGCAAGCTGGACCTTTGCGCGTGCGTCCTTAATGCCATTACCATTACTAGAAACAAATTAGCCAGCTGCCATACGAATGCTCGGAAAGTTAAGAGGTAAAAAGATGGAGCTTCCCATTCTTTTAAAAATATTCATTTAGCTATACAAACATTTTTTAATTAAATAAAATATGACAAATAAAATAGTTGTCATAGGAACTATTATGAACTTATGATGGTTTGATTGCATGATATTGGTTTGGCGGCCAGGGTATACAAACTTCGGATTGCCAAAGTTAGATTTCCTTCTTGTTTTAGTTTCGCTCTTAAGCAGCGGTTACTTTGGCGCCACTGGGAATTGACCAGGAAACACCTGCATCATCGTCACTCACCTGATCCGTCGACGGTGTCGGTGTTGTACGGGAAATCGTAGAGGGTGTGACCCTTGACCGGCGGCTGGGGGGAATGGGGGGCGCGTTCGGGTCGAGATCTGCGCCAACGATTACAGATAAGAGACGAGTAAAGGGATAATTTCGAAAAGTTAAGACCAATGGGGAAGTACCCAAAAGCAACAGCAGCTAGCTCTACGAGATCTACAAGATCAGGCGACCAACGAAGCATAGTCTATAGGGATGATGACCAGGGTTGCCCTGGCTCCTGGTTAGTCCCCCAATCACTGCCCCCCGAAAGTGTTTACTATTAATCACCTTTGAAAGTCACCATGGCCGTCTTCTTGAGGCGCTCCAAGGTGCCGTTCTCCTTGGGCTTCTGGCTGCCATTCTCCGCTCCATCGGGTACATATCGAGCCTTGGGGCGATGCTTGTTGGGATCGAACTTCTGGTCGGCGAATATGTCCTTCATGCAGCTGGTTAGCCGGGAGCTCTGCTGGTGCTTCTGCGATCTGGCCGGTCGCGGTGGCGATGTGGAACTGGCCCGCCCGACTCGTTGTGGTTTCCTGGGCAGCTCCTTGGGCTTCGAGGGCTCCGGGTGCCTGTGAGCCACCCAGTCCGCACTCAGGTGCGGCGATATGTCATGGACATCCCGCATATCCGGATGCGATGTGGACAAATAGCTCTGGGTCTGTGGCTCCGGTGACTCGTAGCGCATCCTCAGTCGCTCGAAACAGTGGCTGTTGCTGCTCACACTCCTCGTGGGACTCCTGGTCCGAATGGGCGTGGCTAACTCCTTTTTCAAAGCCGCCGTCTTGCTAATTATATCGATGTGCGGCATTAGCCTGTCCTGGGCGCTCCTCAGACGCCTTCTTCCGCGCTCCGGCGAAGGCGTGGCTGCCCTCGACTCGAACTTGTGGGTCAAACGCGGCACATCCTCCTCCTTCGACACCGCCTCCGTAGCGGTGTCCGGGGCGTCTTTGGATCCCGCATTCATCTCGGGATCGCTGCGCGCCCTCCGCAGCGAGCTAAGCCCAAAAAAATCACGCCGCTCGTTGGATGGCTCCCGTGATCCTGCCGGGTCCTGCTGGATGCTCTCAAAGTGCTGACGCATCTTGCGCACCTCGCCGGTGTAGACCCTCTGCAGATAGGAGCTGGAGCAGGCGGAGGCCTGGCTCTGGGGCGACAGGCTGCGCGAACGGTAGTAGGAGTCGGAGTACAGCTCAAGACTGCCTTCGCCGTGATCCGGTGACCCGTTCCCAAAGCTGATAAGCTCGGTATCGTCGGGCGGACGGTCGGGTGGGCTGTGCAAGTGAAAATTTACCCGGGCCGCAGGTCGTTCGCCAAAAACGCCGCTCAAATCGGTCAGCGAATTGCTGAGCTCCTGGTGGTGGTGCTGATGCTGTTGTCTAGCCCGCTGACGTTCCTGCATGTTCTGATTGATCAGTCGCATCACCTCCGCCTCGTCCGGCGAGGAGTCTTCGCGAGCGTGGTAAATGGTCTTGGGTGGCTCATCGAACTGCCTATCCTCGAAGTACTGAATCTTCTGGCTGATGTCCTCGGCCGGTTCACGAGTCTCCACCTTGGGTTCTGCCTTGCTCTTGACCTCCTGACCCTGGGTGGGCTTGGGTCTGGGTGGCACATCTGGTGGTGGCTTCGACAGGGTCAACTCCGCATTCTTGGCTGCGATGGCGCCACGTGTTTCTCTGGCCACCACCACCGGTGATTGGCTACGAGTGGCACGAGGCAAGGTCTGATTGGCCTGCTGTTCGTCTTTCTTACGCTGCACTGGACCCAGTAACTGATCCTTGGAGATGGTCGAGTTGCAGCGCACCTTCAGGCCATTGGGACGAGAACCCTTCTCCACGGTGACCACATACTGCTCCTCGACGGCGGGAACCTGACGATTTCCCGAGTAGATCTCGTTCAACTGCTGGGTGATTTTCTTGATCTGATCCTTGGACAGAGTGCTTACCAGATCGTTGTCCAGGTGGCGCTCCATTTCGGGTTCGGTGGAGGTTGCGTGGTGCTGTTCCAGGCTGCTGGCCAAGTCGGCCACCGTGTTGCGTCTCCAATGGCGATGGACTGGCTCCGCTTGGAGCTGCTGCTGCTGCCTGAGGAGATTAAGCTGCTCGAAATTGTCGCGCAGATCCTCCACGGACTTCTTCTTGGCAATCAGCGATTGGTCCGCCTCATGACGCCACTTGATGGAGTCAACGTCCTTGGAACGGAAGTGCAGATCTCTCTGCTTCTGGTCGTCCTGCAACTTGCCCACCAAGTAGTGCAGCTCCTTCTCAGCCCGTTCATGGAGTCGTACGCGGCGCCACTCATCAAAGTCCAGGAGCTCTGCATCCTTCCGCAAGGGATGGAAACTGCTAGAGGAGGTGGCCCTCTCCAGCTGACCCACTCGCTCCAAGGTGCTGTAAAAGCGATTCAGCTCGGTGAAACGCTCGCAGTTGTTGCGATACCGACAGCTGGGACTGTGCCGCTCCAGGTGGGTCAAAGAGGTGGCACTGTGGGCCAGTTCCCCGCACTGGTAGAGTCCATTTGAGGGAACAGGAGTGGCCCGCTTCCGTTCATCGGCGCTGCTCAGACTGCTGGCCCTGGCCAATGACTGCTCCTTGTCCTTGGAGCGCAGGCTATCGATGCGACGACGTGAGGGGGAGCGCACTTCGCGGCTGATTTGGGGCACCCTAACCTCCCGTGTGGGCGAGAAGCGACGTTCCTGGCTCAGCTGAGGCGACTGAGGACGAGCAATGTCCGTCACGGTCACCGGTTTCGGGGGACGCTGCTCCTTGCCCTCGTACTTCCACACGAGGTCCTCGATGCACGGCTGCTGCACCGTTTGACTGGCATAGTCGCAGACATCCTCCGGGCCGAACTTGTACTCCTGCGGCAAGGACATGGCCTGCTTGGCATTGTACTCGTTCCAGAAGTTGGTCTTCTCCCTCACAGATTCGCTGTAGGAGTGGACGGTAATTGGAGGTGCTGGTGGCGGTTTGCTGTTCGCCTTGCCAGTCTGTCGTTTCCTTGGAACATGACCTTCGCTACGGCTGTTCTGGAGTGGAACCAGTGCCTTGGATAGTGATCCCCTGGACTTGCCCACATACGTCTTGGGCGGTGCAATGGGCACAAACTCCTGGCGCACCAGCGAGTCAATGGAGAAGGTGGAGTTACTCCTGGGCAAGCTGTCGTTCGATCCGTTCTTGGCCTGACCCTTGCCAGCCTTCGACTTTCTCAACGACCGAGTACCACAGTCCAAAAGCGTCTGGGGTCGCACCTGCGGAAAGCACATGGTCTGCCTTGTCGTGGTGCTCACTGTAGTCTGACGAAGTCGCGGCAAGGACTTGCTACGCAAAGTGGCATAGGAACGCACGGCCTCCCTCACCTCCTGAGGTGATTTGAGGGAGGGATCCCTCAGTATATTGGTACTGGCCTCAAAGTTGGTGCGATTAGCTGGTAGGGTGTTCTCCAGTCGCTTCTTCTCCTCGGCGAAGCTCCGCTCCTTGGAGATGCTCCTGCCGAAGGCCACGGGACTGCGGCTGGAGTGGCGAAGTGCTAGGAGACGGGCAGGACGTCTATTGGGACTGGAGGACCTCAAACGGGACTGCTGCTGCTGTTGCTGAACGCGACGGGTGAGTCGGGTCTCCTTGGTGGCCGTAAGGGTTTGCAGGAGCGTTGACACCGCTCCCGCGGACTTCGATCGACAAATGGGCTCACGACGGGAGCAGCTCGAGGTGGCCACCTTCCTTAGGGTGATGGTAGACACCCCCGGGGCATTTCCATTCGGCGGCTGAAAGCACTGCTCGTGCCGGGACTTGGAGGCGGAACTGAGGACCCGCACAGTGCTCTTCGTGCAGCTGGACTTGCGGTGGGGAGGCCTCGGAGGTGGGTCATCCGGTTGCGACACTTGCTGCTTCTTGCTCAAGGGAATGAACGAGGGCAGAGTCTTCGACAGCTGCGAGAACATCTTCACCGACTTCTTTTCCCTTCCCTTGCTCAAAGATTGAGGGGGCGGTGGTGGTGGCGGTGGTGGCGGCGGAGGGGGAGGTACTTTCAAGGGCTCTTCCTCTTCCAGCTCCTTGGTGCTCACACGAATCTTTGTGAGCGTGGGAGTGATCTGTATGAATTCGAACTCCTCCACAATTTCTTGAGGAAGGCAATAAATCGGTTTGGAAATTAGCCAGCGGCTTCTGATGATTGTTTTTTTGTTTGGTGGTGCCTGTGACGGTGGTGCCATAAACGGTGGTGCTTATTTTGTTTCTTTTCGGTGGTGCCCGCCCTTCTCCAGGCAGACAAATACAACTTCAGGTGAGCAGTGAGAGTGGGTGAGAGGGATAGAACCAGGGCAACAGGTGGCAAAGAGTTTACAGTCTTACATAGTTTGGGTGTACGATAGATAGACCTTGGAACCAACACCGTTTGCAGAATTAGTGAGTAGAATAGCCCAGCGACTTACAACTAAGTTAGATGTTAGACTGGATTTACGGGGAGAACTAGCCCAAGGGTAACGAGAGGTATCACTCACCACGGGGCTTCTCGGGCGCTGGTTTGCGGAAGCCTAGCAGTGGAGGTTCTCCGCCTGCCTGGAGACTCTTGTAGGCCTGCTTTTGCTCGACGGGACTGAGGGGACTGCTCACGGGTACCTCCTTCTTTCGGAAGACCAGGTTCGAGTCGCTGGTATAACCGGATTCCTTGGCCAAAGCTCTGGGGAGACAGGAATGGTGGTTATTTTTATACAACTTAACGTTTGTTAGTTTCTGCTTACCTGGACAAATTACCTTCAGTGTACAACGGTGATAGTTTCGATTGTTCTAGGTTCTATCGAAGGAAAAGAGAAAATACGGAGATTAGCATTCGTTTGGATAAGGCACTGCATTTGATCGAGTGGCTGCTATTAGTAGTTCTGGTGCCTTTTGCAATGATTCCTGCCTCGCTTTCTCATTCTGACAGACCGATGGATGTTCTGTCCAAGGAAACTTACTCCGATGCCGTCGAAATCATCGACGAACTCTATGATAATTCGAGGGATGCGTGTATGCTCCCTAAGCCACTTTGCGAACGATATGAATCAGGCATTTTGGCATTTTGGCAGGCGGTAAATGGTAGGCAAGGAGGATATAATAGTAAGCAGATAGTTCGGAACGGATTAGTTCACGTTAGAAAACGGATAACGGTCTCGAGTAACTCAAATCGGAAGGTAAATAAACTAAAACTAAATCTAGATTATATAGTAGAGATCATACCCCGTTAAAGATGTCCATCACTTCGTCCCACCACTAGAATTGTGAATAGAATAATTGCTGTGAGTTAGAATATTCGAGGCGATCTGAATGACTGATTATGGGTGGTGAAAGTGAATGTGAATGCTAATGAACCCTTGTCGGGTATTTAATATGGCGTTGTGAAGGAGCAGGGGCAATAAGCTTATCTTGGACGGTGCTGAGGGTTAGGCCAGTGAAGTGGTTTCAACAAACGAATGGTTTATTCGCTTGCGTTTAAAGTGATGGTTGTGAATGGTTGGATTGTTCCAAAATGATGTGCATTTCGGTTACACACTGATGAATCTATTATGCAAATGTTTTCGGAGTAAGGGCAGCACTTACCTCCTTCTTTTCCTTTTCGGAAACAGACGAATGACCTGTCGTATAGTTCTCGATGCGACCTGGCTGATTTTTATACGAATTCTGCGCTGACTTTATGGGATTTGGCATAGTACCATACAACCTGCGGATTAAATGATAATGGCTAGGTAAGAGGGTCCTAATTGTATATCCAAGTGGCGACTCACTTTTCGTCCTGGTTGAGGTTGCGCACATTGACAGCCGAGGAGACGGACTGCACGCGGTGCGGATTCTGGGTGCGATACCTCACCGTTGAGTAATCGGAATCGTAGTTGGGTTCTGGCTCTGAGACGTAGCCGTTGCTCTTGTACGACGGACGGGCTATTGGGATGTAAAAAACCTTATTAGTCGGTGTGAGTACCGAGACGGCTAAGCATAAAGCGGTTTCTCAAGCTCTACTACATAATAATCATTACTTTGTCTTGGTGGTGTACTGGCGGACATGATGTTAGGTTTTGAGTTGGGTGAGTTGGGCCTTAGATTAGGTTAGTCTTGGGGTTTAGTGAAGCCAAATTGTCAATAAGCTAGACACGGGAGTATGAGAAAAATCATATGTAGGTAAACCAAATAATACAGCATGCATGCAAACCAAAAAAAACCAAAATATAATGAAGCTCTCTATTGTTTAGAGGTTGGAGGGTCTTAAACCCCTTCCATATGTACAGGCAAAAGCGGGTAACTAAAGGGAGAGGCTACTGGGGGATAGCATAGTTTATAGATCAAAGAATCACCTCTGGGACACTTGTAGCGAATCACGAATTCATCTTGAGGCGAAAGCGAATGGGAAATGAGAAACGACAGTTGTTGAAGAGACAGAAACGATAAGTCGGAGATCAGATCAGACTGAAGCATTAGGAGGATGGGGAAATGGAAATTTTTGGGGTCTGGGAATGAGCTGGGATGGGAATGGAGATGGTGTTCTCGGGAGGTTCGTAATGCTTCAGACCAAAGGGAGAATGAGAGAGACATTTACCGCCGTTCTTCTGCTTGTGAATCGTCTGATACAGACGCTTGTACCACTCATGCTGATGCGGCTCCTGGACCTCCTGCATGTGGATAGGGATAACAGAACAATACTCGTATCAAATCGTCTCACTTCGAACCCACAACCCCGGTTCCTTTACCGATCTGAGGATGATGGGCATTCCATCGTTGGTCACCGGACCGATGCCGTCGTACTGCCTTCGCCCTAACTGTGCCATTTTCCTCGGACGATCGCTGCCCGTCTCCGGTTCGCTCATATACTCGTGCTTCACTTTGTAGACTGGAAACCGCAGATGGAGTTTGGTTAGTTATTGGGGGTTCTCTGGGGGCTTTGGGGCATGGGTTTAGGTAGTTAGGTAGTTAGGGTTGAACGGAGGACACAAACATCACAGCTACATTCAGTGTTGTGCGTCGACATGAGCTCGCTTCGCCTGGTCACTTGCCCTACCCACGCGGGATATACTTACTGACTTCATTGGGCCTGTAGGCTGGACGACTGGCGTCGGACAGTTGGCGCCGGACAAACGGCCTCCGCAACTCCGAGTTGGAAGAGGAGCGCTCGAATGCTTTTCGGGACGATAGACGACAGTTAATCGTTAGCGAAATCCAATGAGAAATTTGGGACAGAAAATAGGGGCCAAAAGTGGAGGGGGACCAGTAAAACGTAGCCGGGCAACCCGACTTTTTAATATCCAACACTCAAAGATAATTAGATAATTAATTTGCCTACACTTAATTATAATAATTAAATCATAATAAAAAAAATATTTAATTTTCTATATTCTAATAAATGAGAGTTTATACCTACTGGAAATTTGCTTTCAACCACAAAAAAAAACGATATAGTTCCCAACTTTTGCTAGCCTCGGTGAAGTCAGCTATAAGTATATAGTGTTCATAACAAAATTGTGTACCAAAATATCAGCAGGTAATTGATATTTGGTTATGCCAAAATAGAAAACCATAAATTGAGAACGTTTCGTTTCCTTTTAAACCTATTAATGGGTTGTGCCATAATAATGAAAAGTAGTAAAAGTTTTCTCAGAAGATTTTAAATTGAATGCAAATGGTGTTGTAACAATGTTGTCTAATTACTTTAAAGAAAACAAAGATTTGATATCTTTGAGTATTGGATTAAATACAGAGGAACCCGGCGAAGGACTAAGAGGCAAGGTCAGCTTTGTGTGGATGTAATACTTCTGATCTTGTCGAAGACACTGGCACTGGGCGCCACGGGACCAAAGTGTCCCGAGCAGTCGGTTTCGGTGTAGTCCGAGTTCACGGAGTTGAGGGATGGGTTGGTTGGCAGGTGGGCGTTCTCCTCTCCGTTATCCACGTGTGTCCACGGCGGGATCGTAGTCGCCGTCTTCTGTTGTTGTGGGGCCGTATAGCGCCGCGGCAGAGTGGGCGACTCGAACCGCACTGGGCGAAACTCCTTGCGGCCGCTCAACACCGGTGACGGTTGGGGCGTCCAAACGGGCAGCGAGGGTGGCGGCGGGGGCGGGGGCGTGGCCGAGGTGGCGCCCGATTGATTTAGTTCACCAGTGGAACCGTAAGGTGTCCACACGCCTGTCGAAAGTTTTTCAGAGGGTGAGCGAGTGTGGGCGGTGGACTGGGGGACTTTGGGTCTTTCATGTGCCTGATGACATTTTCAGGGGCGCCGGCGAGTTCAGAGATTGAGTTTCCCGCCCCGACATTTACACTTGTCAACAAATTTATGCTCGCTGGCTATGCTTAAACCGCAGATCTCCTCGAAAATAGCTTCTTGGGCAGTCAACAAACCGAGCGAAGACAAATTGACAAACAAACACAGCGACGTGGAACAGCCATAATTAATACGACGGCGACCGAGGAAGCCGCCATTTGGCAGCCATTCAAAATTTGGCCAACACACATAGGCACACACACACAGGGACGCACACTGACGCTCCTCTCACACGGATGGGATGAGTCATCGCATTTGGCGCATGTTTAGCATTCACAAAAAGCACACACATGCAGAGAGATAGTATAAATTTATATTCCCGTACCGTTAAAGAACTGGGCGAGGTGTGCTACAAGGGTTCCCTTTTAGTGAAGGTATCCTAACGCTTGGAACCGGCTTTAAAGTATACTGAGTAAAATAAATTCCCATCTTTGTGACCAAAAAATTATTATCGAGAATTTAGGATAATTATTTCAAAAATACCCACTTAAGAAAATTGAATTTGTCTTTAAGCTAAGAACTCTTGATTCCAGAAAATACGTCTATTGTTTTTTAATTAACAAAAAAGATAAGAAAGTTTAATAAGCTTAAATATTTACTAAAACACCAAATCCTTTAGAATAAATACCCTTTTCATCAACATATCTTTTTTCTCCAATCACAAATGTGATATATGGTAATTTATTCAATTTATACAGCCTTTAATGGGTGATAAAATTAGAACCTAATCATCCATTTTGATCAGCGCTTAACCAATTTAAATCGGAGAAAAACGTTTGCTAATCTTTTGCATAATGAGAATAAATTGCCCTCAATTGCGACTCTCTTCTGCCAGCACAATCTTATAACTTGTCGCATAACCCCCGCGATGTCTGTGCAGCTTTGCATTGGGTCTAGCCAAAATCTTTCATTCTACAGATTTATTTGCCACCTGTAAAAAAACAAAAAGCACGAACAAACACCAGGAGATCACAGATACATTTACCGATTCAGATACAGATACAGTTAGAGATAGAGATGCCCTAGGCGCATTGCCTTCGAGACATTGACACGTATTTGGCCGAGGAGCAGTGGTGCTGCCTCTAAATTCGTTAGCGGTCTTTTCGTGGGTTTCACGGGGGCGGTGGGGTGAAGACTGTTAGGGGGCGGTGGTGAAGGTGGTGCTGATGCTGGTGTTTCGTATGTGGGCGCGCTGACGTCTTTATTCAATCAGCACTTAATTGAATTATACAATCGAATCAAAAGGAAATTTCTCCTTGCAAATGTCAATCAAACTCGCACACACCGCGATCCTCTGAGTCACTCGGATGCGGATTAGTCTTAGTCGCATTTCGCACTACTGAGGGATTTACCTAAGGAGATTCACCGGTACGATACGGGTATTCGGGAGCGATTTGCTGATTGAGTTGCTGACTCCGCGCACGGCTCGAGGCGAACTGAATTTTGCGTGACTCGCCAGCGTCGAGCAGAGCTAAAAGCCCGGGAATGGGGATGGATTCGGATTCGGAATCGGATTCAGATTCGGAATGGGACTGGGAATGGCTATGGCTGTGGCTATGGGCAGGGAAAAACAAAAGCCAAACACACCCAGTTCGGCTGCGACGGCTGCTCCTCCGCCCCATCGTCACACAATCCCCAAATAGCAGATCAATTACGATTCTCGCTGCTCGGTGCTCGATCAACCGGAGACAGGGGAACCTCGAGGGGCGAACGCCAATTATGCGTGCAATGCGAAATGGAACGGAAGTGTGTGCGGCGGAGTACAGTGAAGCAGCTATGTTTATAGGTATAAAAGTCACTGGCAACAAAAACTGGAAAACATCAAAACAACTCTTCGGCAAAGCCAGACAAAAAGCAAACTCAAAACAATAAGGAAAACAAAGCCAAACACAAAGCCAACTCGATTGGTTTGGCTTGACTTGGCTTGGCACTTCCGGTGGCCACTGACGCTACTGCCGAACGCTGCTTTAGAACAAATCAGACGGAAAATTCGAAAATTCGCTTGGAAAAATGTTAATAGTGGCACTTGAGAGCGCGACACACCCGCCAAGGAGCGCCCGCAGTCGAGCAGAAGCCGCATTTCGCTGGCTTTCGTTGTTCGAGGCAATTCATTTCAAATTTATCGATTTGCGAACAAGAAAAAATTGGAATATCAACTAAAATGGGGACTCCACAGAGAGAAAATCGGCTAAACTATTTTATCAAATATTCAAACATTTAAGAACTACAGTTTTTTAAATGATTCAAAATTAGCTAATTTTTGTTAGCTAGCCGATTAGAAGACACTTACAAATAACAGACTAATAGTTCGGCATTTTCACTTACTCAAACCCTTAGAATTCCGAATTTGGATTTAATTCAAATGCTTATAACACAAATCCTATTATTCCCAACCAGAAGAAAATTTCAAGGCCCAAACGAACACAAACGATTTCTTGAATGAAGTCACAAACTTTTCCCACAGTGCACCTGCAATGAGGGAACCATTTAATTTTAACTCTGGATAGTTTGTAAAATGTTTTTCCAATAGCGGAACCCATATGCTCGCTGCGGCCTTGTAAAAGTCACACAAAAGGTGATGGAGAAAATAGTTCGGGCGGAGTGGCCGGGGGATCCGGCCAACCTGTCACAGATTGGAAAACGGGAGTTGGGATCGGGAGTTCCGAGTCAGAGTGCGACCTGTCAATTGGAAATGGGAATGAGAATGGAAATGGGTGCGGCTGCCTCTGGCAAATTAAGAGCATTTCCTGAGTTGATTTATGTGGAATTCAGGGGGAGTGCGTCTGCGTGTGGCTTGTGGAGAGGGCGGGAACTCCTCCATTTAGGGTTATTTATGGAGTGCATATTTGCGGTTCAGCCGGAACTGATTGGAAAAGCTCTAGTTGGAAACCGAATAATGGGCCATTAGCAAAGAACAGAGATCATATTTAATGGTGGGATCTCGTTTATATAAGAAGGTCAAATTGTCTTTTCGAAAGTATCCCTTTAAATAATTACAAAAATAATTATATTCATAAAAATGATAGCCTTACCCCAACCACTTAATTAAAATCCGTTTATTTATCTGCCCACCTATTGACTCACGAATTCTTTTCCATTCCATATTATTAAGATCTCTTTTCAACAGATTGATAATCCCAACGAAGGCAACGTCATCAAACAGAATTAAATCGCTATTTACCGACCAGAAGCTAAGGCAAAGGAATCGTTTCGTTCAAGTTCAACTGAATTTATACCGAACTATAAATTATTTTCACTCACTAAAAGTCTTAAAATTTATATTTTCCATTCTTTGGCATGGGCAAAACAGACCAGAGAAAACAGACCGAGCCGAAAAAAATGCGAAAGGGGAAAATGTTAAAAATAACAACATACAAATTAATGCTTTAAATAAATGTGTAGGAGATCGAAATTTCCAAAGCATAGATAATGCCATCAGATGACGCCAATCAAGGAATAAAAGTTTTGATGGATTTCCGAACGCCCCCGTAAATCCTCAAAGGGGTTTTACGGCCCACGGCGGATTGTGCTGAATGGAAAACGGAAAATCCAACGGACTTGGCTAAAACAACATCAAATGGGTCGGCATGGCGACATGGCCGAGTACTCTGCTCTCCGTGTTGATCTTATTTAGCAGGCATTTTTATTGGAGACTGTAAAAGGCGGCATCCGCGTGGGCGTCCAACACGAATAGCGTACAACAATTGAGAACATTGCAAATATTGTAATAAATATTCCACATTTTCTCCCTCGGATTTTACGTCATTTCGTATATTTAGCAATGGCGCACCTCGTTTCCAGTTTGGGTTTTCCAAAACGCTTGCCTAAATCATGTGGAAACTTTCGGTCTGTGCACAATTAACATGAACTAATGTGAAATATTTAAAATAAACAATCGCAACTGCCAAAGGCAAAATCAAGTTCAGTCCATCGGCGAAAAAAGGAAAACAAAATGAAATGAAAGAGCTAACACAAAAAATGATCTATAAATACGAGCAATAAATTTGGAAATGAATAAGTCGAAAGGTGGAAAGTTGACTGGGAAATCGCGGCGAAAGAGCCACTCAACTCGTCTCGACTCGCCACCGGAATCATCAAAGACAGCCCGCTGAAAACGTCATGTTGGCCATTTGTCACACTTGTCGTGGATGCATCCGCGGGATGCAATATGCATCCGCCAGATAAAATTTACCTGAGCCTGGTGGCGCGCGCGCCTTGAATTTGGGTGCAAACATCGCGGTGCCCGCCGTGCTTTGTGTGTGCTCTGCAAAAATCAAATTGCAAATGGCCAAAACGGCGATTTAGTCGGGAATACTATTCACTGAATACACTTCACTTCGGGTGCAGCTCGGCTGCATCTCTGGAGTCTTTTCGAGACTTTCACCGCGGAAGTGGCAACAGGCACAAACAAACTCGACTACAAAACACTCAACTAACCCTGCCCCATTTCTGCTGCGGTGGAAATATAGAAGCGACTTCTTTCTCGATTATCAATTTTCGATTTCCGACTTCGGACTTTTCTATATTTTCTATTTTCTGACGCGTCTTCGCGTTGCTCACACGACTTTAACACGACGACGACTACGAAACGGTTGAATTTTCGGGCAGGTTGCTTGGACTTTCCGTTCGCCAGACCCCAGCCGAAAAATCTCAATTTGTGTGCGAGCGCAAGACAACAAATTTGTTGAACGTTCTCGTTCTCAGATGAAAAATTCGTATTTTTTTTCTGTTTCGCCCAGTATAAACAACAGTTTTTTTATGCTTTCGTAAACAGAGACAGGAGAGGAGGCCCAAAAAAAGAAAAGAGCGATCTTCGGGGAGTGAAAACGAGAGATCTTCGACTCAAGTGGGTCATAAATTATGGACACAGTGCAGAGATAATGATATATATGTATAGACATGTGTAAATATATGGCCGAGTGTGGCAAGTGACCAAGGAGAAGCCTTCGTGTCGTATACGCAATGTGCTGAAACAAAACAGGCGATCTGTGCTGCCTACTTTTGGGCAGTCCATAGATACTCACCATGTGTAAAGTGGATTTGGCTAAAAATAAACTTAACATAATTAACACAAATACAGCGAGAAGGGGTTAGACAATTAGACAGCAGGGGCGGGGATCGGAAGGGGGCGTTCTGGGGGTTTTTCTGACACACCATTCGCGTAGAGGAAGCCCTTGGCCAGCTGCAGTTCGCTGTCGATCTCCTTGAGAAGATCGCTTTCCGACCAGCTGCGCCGCTGCCTCTGCTGCTGCAGCTGCTGGGCGTTGAGGAGGAAGCGCGTCTGCTTGGGTGGGCGTGGTCGCAGCCGGACACCCATTCCCGCTGTCGAGTTCGCCTCCTCGGTTGCGGTGGCTCTGTCTGAACGATAGCATTCGGTTAGATCTTCGCCATCTAGCGGAGTGCGTTCGACGCCCCCGTCCCTGTTCCCATTTCAGCATGCATATTCGCTTGTACACAGAGAAAAAGTAGTTGGCCTGGCCACACAATTTTGCCTACACTTTTCCCTCTTCTATTGCTGTTATCGACTGTCAATGCACAAATAGTTTAATGCAGTAGAAATTTTAAAAAGTGTCAGTTTTAAAAGAAATTATTAGAAACTCTTTCCAAATTTCATCCAATTAGCTCGTTATTTAAGATATTCAAGAGTATGTATAAATTATAAAAGCGGTGAATCATTTAGAATTACCCAATTTCATATTCCCATTTTTCTCTGTGTAGACGCTCTAGCTCAATTGCCCCCGATTCCGTAATTCTTCTTTTTAAACAAACGGATCGTCTGTCGGACTGCACTTTGTGTCCATGCAATTGAATGGAATTAATTTAAAATTTCCGCTTAATCGCAATTTCGCTTGTCTTTTCCTTACTTTGTTCTCGTTTCTTGAGCTTGATTGCAATTCTTGGGGGCCAGATAAGTTGGTCGTGAGGGAGGGGGTGGAATGGGTGGTTTTGCGTTGCCGCGAAAGGGTTAAGCCGATTTTAGCCCTCGGGCATTTGAGCAGAGAGTCTTAAGCGAAAGCTTGCGGATTACAAAGCCAAATGATTTATTATCTTAACTTAAGCTTAAGACTAGACAATAGTATTTGGTGAGTTGGAGAAACATCAGACAGTTTAATTTAAGGAAAAGCTTTTAAATGTTAATATTTTTAATGGGTAAGCATTGATTACTTCATTATTAAGTATTCATGAATATTATAATTTAATTAGTGGAACACTACAGAAGTAAAGGTATTCTCGATTAAAAGCTTGTTTGGCGTATACAAATTCGAAACATTCCCCGAAATGATGAGTCGATCGTTTATAGATCTTGCATATATTTCCCAAACATTTTGTTTACGCCTGTCTGTTATTTCCCAACCGCACCGTCTGCAAATCTCTGTACACTACACACGAATATGGATTAGTTTTGTTTTTAAGCACACCGACTCTCTCTTTTTTTCGGGACACATCACACAACTAGAAGGAAACGCATGCGGAATATATACAAATATCGAATGAATGCAACGAAAATACTCAAATCAAGTAAACAATTGTTGGTTAATCAAATAATTTCGTTTTATTAAACAGTAAACAAACAACACTAAATATAATTTTCGGCTTCGTTTTATTGCTATAGTATTAAGATTATTTTCAATGTTTTGAACATTTAACAAAGTTTCACAAACGCAATTTGGACAAATCTGTAACTAGTATATAGTTTATTATTCAACATGAGCTGAGTGGGGGATGCTGCATGCAGCTGCGGGGGACAAATTGGGGGATAATGGGACTTTTGCTGGGGTCAGGGGTCAAAGCATTCGGTTTGTGGTTCAGAATGTGTTGGAGGCGGAGTGCTCGAAGTTTCGCCAGTACTTGTCGAACTCTTCAAAGATTTTCGATCGGAAGGGCGAGCCGGCGAAAAACTCGTTCAAATTAGCACCGATTTTTCCCGGCTGGGGATCGCTGGAGCGATTTATCTGGTGGTTAATGGTGCTCCTGGATTCGGATTCGGATTCTGTGGCCTCGTCTGTGTGGAGGAAGTAGGAGGAATTCGCGCACAATGAACAATCAGAAGAGAGAGAGATAGAGATATACAAAAGAGAGAGATGGGACAACACCAAGTAGCTACTGTATGCAGGTGAGTGTGAGCGAGATGGCCAGAAACCAGATAGAGGATACTTTCAACTTGATATTAACAGATGGAATTTTGGTATGACATTCTGCGGGACTTAATACGGTTACCTTTTAAGATCAAGTTGGAAAGGTGACTGTATAGAGTATGTGTGTGAGGGAAATGAGGGAAAACTAACTGAACTTGTTCCAGGCGGTCAGCAGGGATAAGCCCACCAACAAAGCGGTGCCCAAGATGCCGCCTGCGGTGCTGGATGAGGGATTCAATGGTTCAACGGGTGGTGGTGGTGCAGAGAATTGTACTACGGATGGGATAGAGGATGGGGTGGAGGAACCACAACCGGTATTGAGATTGGGGTGGGGATGGCTTTTGGGATTGGAGTCGGAGTCAGGCGATGAGCTGTGGTTACTGGTTAGTTCCAGGGGGATGTTATGACTCACGAGCCGCGCCGTTTGCGAGCGTTCGCGGTAAGGACGGCCACGCTTGCCCCCGGAAAAGTGGCCGGGAAACTCACCCTGGACGGAAGGCGGCAGCCGGGAAACCTTGTACGTCTTCACGATGCTCGTCTTCTTGGTGGCACTGCTGTGCGAGTTGTCGGTGGCCTCCTCCCGGCGTTCCTGCTCCTCGTGCCGCTCCATCTGGCCGCCATTCGGCAGCTGTTCGCTGGTGGAGAACTTGGCGAACTCCCGCAGGTGACGTGGCAACTGGCGGAGATTGGCCTCGGCCTGCCCCTCGAGTATGCGGATGGGTGGCGCCTCCACATCCGATTCCGGTTGCGACTGAACGGCTGGCTGGGGCTGCGATTCCGCCCCACTCTCCCAGTCACTGTCCGCCGGCATGGCCAACTTGTGGCGCCGCTCCTTCACGCGGTCAAGGAACTCATCGCTGATGGTCGCCCTGTCCACCGTGGAGTGATCCTGCTCGTCCTCGATCTTGGATATGCGTATGATCTTGTGCTGCCGCCGCTCCTCTCGCTCGGCCACCTTGTTCATCCACTCCTCGGCCATCTGCTGGCGGAACACCTCGTCCTCGCTCAGCGTGGGCAGCTTGGCGGCTGGCCTGTAGCTCTCCCTCCTCTGGGGGGCCGGCAGCACTGGCGCCCTCTGCATCTCCTCCATCAGGCGACGTCGTTCCTGCTGCAGTCGCTCCACCTCGAACTTGAGCTCCTCCTCCTTGGAGAGTATGTACTTCAGCTGCTGCTCGTGCAGCTCCCTGGGCAGCGAGGACCTCCTCTGCTGACGGTCGTAGGCCGGTGGAGGCACCTGTGGAGCAGCTTGTGGTGATGTTGGTGTTGGTGCCGGACTGACGCCCCTTCTTGAGGTGGTGCTAATGTACCGCGGATTGGGATCCCGCTCGATCATGGAGTAGCAGCTGCCGTAATGGGGACGCTGCTGCTGTTGCGCCTGATTAAGCATAGGGGCATGGGTTCTCCGCCCCCCGTAGGCATTGAAGGTATCATAGCTGTACTGGCTGGAGCTGCTCAGGTCATTGGTGCTGGCTGAAAGCCGTGGAGCCCTGATTGGCATCCTCTGATTCGGATTAGGATTCTGATTCTGGTTCTGTCGCTGATAGCAGATCTCCACCTCCCTGGCAAAGGGTCGAGCTATGTTCTCCGAGTAACCCAAATCGTTGGCATACCGCGACCAGTCGTCCTGGTGGCCAGTGTAGTGACCCACTGTGGTGTGCGGACGTGGTGGGGGTTCGTTGAGATTGCACATGGACTCGGCACGTCGGGAACGCGGCTCCAGCTCGATGGGAATCTCGTGGGTTTGCGGCGGAGTGGCCTCCATTTGTCGCGGCACCGAGGACATGCGCTCCTGTCGCGACCTTGCCGACCGTTCGATCTCCTTCTCCAGCTCCTGCATGTGAGCATGCCGCCGCTGCTGCAGCTCCTCCTTCGCCGTCGCAGATGATCGGGTGAAGCCACTGAGATCGTACAGCGAGGCAGACTTCTCCCGTCGCTCACGGGTCGTCTGCAGCTCGGCGTGCATTTGCTGGGACAGCCTGTCAAAGTCCTTGAACACGCGGTCTTGGTCCAGCCGGTCCCCATCCCTCTGATCTCCAAAAGCATCCGCAGCGGCCTTGGCACGCTGCCGAAATTCCTCATACGTACCGTTGCCGCCGCTCTCTTTCGGTGGCTGGCTATTTTTGGGCGCCACGTCTCCATCAATGAAAGTGCTGCCGTTTAATTTCGGTGCTGACATAATTGGCGGTGGGGGGATGGGCGGCACGGGAGGCTCTTCCTGCTCCTTCTTCTCGTGACTGGAGCTGCTGACGTCGTAGATCACCTGACCGTTCTCCAGTCGCTTCTTGGACTCGTAGCTACTCGTCTCGATGTTGGAGTAACGCTTCGTTTGAGTGGAAGTCTGGGCAGGATGGCCGGATGTGGGGAACTCAATGTTGGAGAACCGCTTGCGCTGCTCTTCGAAAATGTCGCCCTTGTGCTGCGGGAACATCCTGGCCAGCTCGCTCTCCATGCCGTCCAGCGTGGGAAACTTGGACATGGTCTCTGTGCTCTTGGTGGTGGTGGTGTGCTTGGTGGTGCTGCTGCTCTGGCGTTGCTCTGCCGACTGCTGCTCGAGGAGATCAGCTGCTCGCCTTGGTTTATTTTCAAGCGATGACGATTCGCTGGCCGCGATCTTCTGCTTTTGTTCGCTTGCGTCATCTCTCTTGGCGTTTTCATGAGCAGTCGCCTTGGCCGCCGTTTCGGCGCTCTTCAGCGGCACAGGCGGCGGGGGCAGGGGGGGAGCCTCTGGCGAGAGGCTCTTGCGCAATTCGCGCATCTTGGCCGCCGTCTTGAGCATCTCGCTCTGCTGCTCCAGTTGCTGCTGCTGGTGATCCTGCTCGCGCACCTGCGCCTTGGACAACTCATGGTAGCCCCGACGCTCCACGAACTTCTGGTGGGCGTCCAGGAGGTCGTCCGGCTGGGTCTGGGCGTCCAGCAGCTCCCTCTGACCTGGCGAGAGGCACACCAGCAGCTGGGGATCGGACTGGGTGGGCAGGCCCAGCCAGGCGGAGGAGGAGGAGAAGGAGGAGGACTTGGCCTCGCTGGCGTTCAACTGCAGCTCCTTGATGTGCGGCAACTGGGGCAGGGGATAGGGCATCTTATTCTCGTTCTGATCCGCTATGTTCTGGGCCACGCTGGCTAGCTCCTCGAGCACCTGTTCGCCATAGGGCATGGAGGCCAACTGCTCGGTGCACAGCAGGCGCAGGTTCTTGATGGCATCCGTATCGGGATCCGAATCTGCAACTGAAAGCTCTGGCTCTGATTGGGGTGGAGTGGGTGGTACTAGTGGTGCTGGTGGTGGTGCGGGCTTTTGTCTGAGTGGCGGTGTGGGTGGCTGGGGCGCCAGTGGGGGACTGGCCAGGTTGATGGCCGTGCATTGGCTGTGGGTGGTGCTGTCGGAGCAGTGGGAGTCGTTCGACTCCTGCCGCTTCAGCTGCAGGGTGGTGAGGTGGAACGGGGGGGAGGACGAGGTGGTGGGACTGTAAAGCGGTAGGTCGCTGGAGGCCGGGGGTGGGGGAACGGGCGGCGGCGACGGCGAACACGGCGGCACTTCACCTCCTCTTTGCTCCTCTTCGCGCCGCGTCATCTCGATCAACTCGCGCACTTTGTCCATGTTGCGAACGAACTCCTCGCGCGTGGCCGCTAGCGGCGATGCTGCCCCGAAACTGACCGCCGATTCGCCAGATACTTTTGTATCTTTTGCTAATTGCTCGCCATCGGCTGCCGTGGGCGTTGGCGTTGGCGTCGGCGTCGGCGTTGCGGCGCTCAGCAGCGAAGACAGCGAGGAATTGGCATTGTTAACAGGTGTGCTCTCGCGACTCTCATCGACCTCGGACTCTCTGCCCGTCTCTAGTTCCATTTCCGTTTCCGTTTCCGCTTCCGTCACACTCCTGTCCGCCGTGGTGGTGCTCGTGCTGCTCATCTCATCGTCCGGCCGGAGGATCAGACGGCTGGCATCCGTATCCAAATCCACCAGGGCCCGTTCCGCCAAGGCGGCCGCCTGCTCGAGTTCCAGTTCCATGAGGTCGGACACACTACTCGAGGCGGAGGAACTCAGGTAAACCAGCTCAGCATCCTCTGATTGGGGCGACAGGGCGCTCTGGAGACGGGTACAGCTCTCCAAGTCGGATGATTCCTCCAACAGCTTCGTTTCCAGTTTCAGCGGCGACGGTGCCTCCTCCCTGCGTTTGTGCCGGCGACTAAAGTCCAACTGACTCCTCGGGAAGGTCTCGTTTAGCTTGGGCGTGCGGATCTCCGCCTGATTGCCTGCAGCGGAACCAGAGGAGTTGCGGAAGCTGGTTGCCTCGCCGTTCTCCTCCAGGATGCTGTCCAGATAGCGGGGATTGAGCAACTGCGGCAGGAAGTGCGACTCCAGAGCGTTCCGTTTCTGTGCGCGCTTCTGGCGCAGTTGCTCCTGCTGCTGCTGCATTTCCACTCGACTGCTGGACGGCACCTGTGGATCCGACGGAGATCGCTCAGCTCCCAGGACGCCAATTGATCCCTCTGATTCCGAGTCCGCTTCGCAGACGAGAGGCGACGGCAGGGTGGAGTTGAATTCCCCAGAGCTGCAGTCGCTGTTCAGTTCCAGTTCCTGGATTTGAACATCGCGGGAGAAGCGGGAAAATTGAGCGTTGCTTGACACGTTTTTCGGGGACTCCACCAAATAGCGGGGTGGTGGAGACAGGGTTCCGGCCAGAGAGCCACCGGAAGTACTGCTGATCTCCTCGATGGTGGGTTCATCTTGGGCTTCCAGGTGTATCTGGTGTATAATCACCTTGGAGGGGGTCTGTTTGGGAGGCAATTGCTGGGGAGGAGAAACTTTCACTTGGACGTCGTCTTTTTTCTCGATTTTCTTCACTGACTTTGGGGCAGTTTCAACATGTTGCTGTTGGTCCTTCTCCTGTTGCTGCTCTGGGGCAACGGCAACATGTTGCTGCCGTGCTTCTTCTTGTGCTTCGAGTTTCTCTTGCTCCTGTGGACTTAGTTCCACGTCTTTTTTATGACTTTCTACCGCAGCAATATGTTGCTGGTGTGCATTCTCCACAAATTCCATGGCTTTTTGAAGTTGCAACACATATTGCTCTGGTTCTTTTGGCTCAGGCTGTGCTGGTTCCTTTGAATAATCCACTTCATCTGGCTTTTGAGCTTCGTTACTTTCATGAACTTGTAGATTTTCAACCTGTTGCTGCTGTACGTTTTCTATAAGCTGACTAGTTTCAGGAAGTAGCTGTTCCAGATTCTTTGATTCCTTAATCTCCGTAGATACAACCTCCTTGGATTCCACAACCTTGTGTTGCTGCTGCGATTTATCTTCACCGTTTGCCTTGTCCTCCTCCCTCACTATCCGATGAACTATGACCTTGGCTTGACGCGGACTGCCCGGCGGCCTTCTTATAATAGTGGGTGGTGGGCGCACCTGCTCTTCGGCTTTTCCATTAGTCGCCGCCTGCTTATCGGACTTTTCCTTGCGGTGTTTTGAGTTTTTGGCACCCATTTCTGCGTCCGAATCTTCTTCTTTTCGGATGACTGTTGCTGGTTTCTCGGATAGTTCTTCTTTTTTTTCCTCTTCGCTTTTCTCAAGAGTGCTCGTCACCTTTTTGCTGTTTTCCGTTGGCCCATTTGAAACGCTGCCAGAATTTCCATTATCATCTACGGAGGAAGAAGAGGTTGCTACTGCGATCTGTGAGTCTTGACGTTCCTGATCCTCCTGCTGCTCCTGCTCCTCCCGCTGCTCCTCCGCCCCCTCTGCCTGCTGCTGATTGCTTTGGTTTGGGTTTTGATTTTGATTTTGGCTTTGGTTTCGATTGCGTTTGTTGCGATTGCGATTGCGATTACGATTGCGGTTATTGGGCATCGTCTACGGAACTTTCGCTCGATCTGAACTAATGCAGTTTCCTATGTGGGTATATGTGGGCTTTATGTGTGAATGCTTCGTGTTTCGTGTGTGTCTCTTAATCGGCCAGAATCTACAGTACAACTAAGTTTCTGTTTCGTTTCTCGATGTCGTTTATTTCTAGTTCCCTCTGTGTGTGTCACTCGTCGCCAGAAACTCAACCAGAACTGAACGGAGAACCGACAACCGGCGGCATTTCTGCTCACGACGACAGCCGGCAAAAATACAACAACAAAAAAAGGAAGGAACGAATAAAAAAGAGCACTACGAGCGGAAAATCATATAAAACAGCGACGTCGCAGTCGCTGCCGGCGTCTCTGCCGCCCCGCCCACCGCACACCACCGCCCACCGCCTGGCACGCGTCCGAAGTCGTTATGTTTTCAGGTTTATTTTTCGCTGCCGAGATCGCGCCTTTGTCTCCGATTGCCTCGAATTGTTTTGGCCAAATTAAATTGCGTTTTGAACACCGAACTTTCGCTCTCGTTTCGGGGTATATTCGATTCTTAGCCGCGAATATGGGGTGATTTTAGAAACATTTTTCGTATTCGGTTAAAGATCGCGCTTCCCGCTCCTCGTGGCGCTGGCGACCGACGGACAAGGAATGGCCCATGGGCCTTCCACGATCTCAGCCGGGAGCCAGCTCCCCAGTCTCCCACTCACACACATCTGCACACACAACCCAATTCGGATGCACAGTGGCAAGTATTTGAAAAATACACACAGAAAAGCAAGTCGGGGAATTCATAATGATGCTCATTTTCATTTTCAAAATACAAAATACATACAACGCATACAAACAGAAAGATAGAGAGAGAGAGAGAGAGTCTTTCGGGAATAATGTGCAAAACCAAAACAGAATGCAGGGTATTCCAAAGACACCGAAAAATACCCAAGAGACCGAAAAAACAACAATATAACTTCTAGGTCAATGCAATTTCCACAAGCCAAACAAACTCATAAACTCAAATCAAGAGAAACGAATCGTACGTTTCGAAAATATATTTGGCGCATCCATAAATATTAGAATATTCTTTTGGAACACGTACGCAATTTGTTTGTGGAATTTCAGCTGAAGAATATATGCTTTCGAAAATAAAATTTTAAAAATGTCACAAACACATTTTTGTCTAGAATTTCGTTTGATAAATGCTCAAGATTGAAAGATGTAAGACATTAAGGGAAAATAAATTATTTAGAGGTCGCCTAAATGCAGAAAAACTATTATCTGGCAGTTCGGGAATCTTAATTTTAATTATTTCATATTTTAGATGTTTGACTAGAGGAAAAGCTGCCGTGCAATATGCCCAAAAAGATCTAATGCAGGGCATTGAAGAAGAGAACTCAATACGGAAATAGTTTGCCACAGTTCGAGTTTGTCTATATCTTCCCGCTAACGTGTGTGTGTAAGTGTATCTGATGAGTCTGCGCCGGCTGGTGTATCTATATACAACTTATGGCATTTTCAAGATATTTTTCGTGCGTAATTTCTTTGATTTCTGTGGTCACAAGTCTCTGCTTTCGGTGTACTCTTGAATAATTGAAGAAGCACATATCCACGCGTTTGTAGGTATATATATAGCTCTTGCATATATCATCCCAGTGGGCCATGCGGTTAGTAGTATTCTGCTTTTATTTTTAAAGGTACTTAATGGCTTTCAATTTCTCTTGTTCTGTCTGGCCTGCAGCCCATCTCCGTCTCCATCAACTTCCTCCGCCCAGAGCCGATCTGAACTAAAGTGATTTCAGTGGGTCTGTCAGGTGCCAGACGATCGGTACACGTGATGTCGAGGTTTTAGCCCGGGGATTATGCAATTTCTGCACTGTGCGACAGAGAGTGGGATCCCAATTAGGAACTACTAAACGATCACTTCCCCCAGACGGAACCCACACTTACAACTTATGTATTCTCAATTGGTTTCGGTTTTCGCTTGAATTTCGTTTAGGCCTCGTTGGGTTGTCCGAATCACTGACGTACACCCAAGAAGCCAAGTAGCCGCTATCTATATCTATGGAACCATTGTAGTAGCTTCTATTTTCTGTATTTCTTGCCCCGTAATATCAACAAATTCGAAATTGATTTCTCCGCCTCGTTCTATTTGCTGTTGAACATCGCACATTTTAGTTATCTTTTCTGGGCTATCGCTGATAAATTTTGCATTTTTGATAAAGAATATTTTTGCTTTCAATGGAATCGAGGTTGGGGAGCTCAATGAGTGAGGTGAGGTTGGCTTCTTGGAAATTTATTATAGAGGGAGCTTTTATTGCTAAAAAAAAGCATAGAGGGGGTCATCAAAAGAAGCCTTTCATTGCGATTTAATTGAACAAGATCTACGATATGATTTTCGCTTGGGAGATTCTTTGGGATGAATAAAGCATACTATGATCATTTTGTTTGATTGTAAAGATTTATATATAACGGAATAGTTACTTTAAGATTATTATTTTTACTTCGGTAATAAAAATATTTTAATAAGAAGCAGACCCAACTTTTTTAATTAAAAGAGACCGTGTCATAACAGTTTAAGATTTCTAAAAATTTTATATTTTAGAATTTCTTTAAATAACAGACGATAAGTAAGTGCTTACTAAATAAAATAAATGAATAAATAATTACATTTCGATTAGCAATTATGGTTGAAGCTACAAGTTTTTCCTCTCTAAATTTTCCTTTCACCAATGTTTGATTTTAGCCACACTCTTCATTCACTCAACATTCACTATTTGTCATATGTGTTTTCTAGGGTATTCCGAGTGTTTGGCTGCCTGGCGATTTGTTGGCTTTGCACTTATGTTGTTTGGGGTATTTACGGGTGCGGGCATGGGTATGGGTATCTGTTCGAGATACACTCACTCTCTCGGATACAGATACACTCGTCGCCTTTGTTGTGATGGCTGCTAATTAGCATAGATTTTTGAGAGTCTTGGTGCTTTGCTTATTTATTTGGGCAGCGCCGAGCGTTCTGTTCTCCCATAACGAGCTGAGCACATGTCTGCTTCTCTCTCTCCCTACTTATGGTTTGTTTGCCTTTTACACAACGCACACACACAGAGTATAAACACAAACAATGTGCTTAGTAAATTAATTTATGAGTCGCCCCACAAGAACATCGAACCCGCTCTGACGTCACGTTCTTACAATTTAATTCCCAATTAATTGCAAATCGTCGGCATCGGCGAAAAGGCGTTGCATCAAAGGCCGCGTTCGTGAGCCAACTGAATTGCAAGTGCGGCAAAGAGACCGCCGCCAAAAGGCCGACCCCACTGTCTCCTCCGCACAGTGGGCCCGTTCTGTTATCTTTGCGGCACATTCTAAAATCGAACAGTGATCTCAGTGCCTCGCATCCAAGTGCCAAAGTTGGCGCGTAATTGCCAACGTTTTCGCCAATAACAGTAGTTGTATTAAACAAACACACTAACTTCTGCCCTATTGCGTCAGATTTCGCAGGTTTTCCCAGCCGCTTTTCCCCTACCGAGTTTTCCTTGGCCGATGCTAGCACACACAGAGAGAGTGAAGGGAAAAACAAAACAAAACACACAAGCACTGGGCTATTTTTAAGGGGCGCAATCAATCGGCGACTCGAAAACCACAACTGGGGTGAAAATCACTACAATTCCGGAACCGAGTGTGTAGTGCAGTGTAATTTCCGATAGCTATGCCTATATAGCTGTCGCTCGATCGACACAACGTCAAAGTCGAAGTTCTAGTGTACAACTGAAGCCGAAGCTCCGAAAGCTCCCCCCGAACACCTGGAAACACGACAAAAGGTGGCAGATAATTTTCTGACGAAGCCTTCAACTTTTGCTGATTGTCGGCCATCTCGCTCTCGGTTCCGTTCCTCAAGCCCTCTCGTTTTCGCACTGGAATCGATTGCAAATCGGTTTCCGACAGCTCCTAATTCGCTGAGCGCTTGGTACCGGGCATTAGAAATGTTTTGGCACTGCGCCAATCTGCTGACAGCTGGAAGCAGCTTTCGATTTCTGGAATAAACAGCCGAGCGGAGCGAGGAGTCGCGGGGTCTCGACTTGCGGAGCACTTAGGAGTGCTATTCTGCTTGGCTGCCGTGAAATCATAAGCAAATATAAACTTGATCAGATGGGAAAGTTAAGGTTAAACGGGTTCTCTCGCTTTTTGGTACCCGCCACTTTCGAGGCAATGCAAATTCTTAAATGTTAATTGTTAAATACCTAAGGGGTTCTTTGTTTGTGCTAGGTTTCCGGCCAGTTCTTTAATTTTTACATTTGTTTACATGTCTTGATTGTGTTGCGGTGCTGGAATTCTTTTAACACAGTTCAACTATTAAATACAAATATTTGGAATTTCAAAGTCATATAAACAAAAAGAAACACAAGCAAGTAGGAAACTTAAAGTGATTTGTAAAACATTTTAAACTTATAAAGAAAACGTCTAACTTTAGAAATATATGGCATACTTTTTGGTGATTTTCACTGATTTTCAATAAATCCATTCTTCCAATATTTTCACTATTTATTCATTATTTGTTTTTACTAGTCTGTAATCACTAATTTTTAAGATTTATTCGGTCATTATTATCACATTTTCCACTGTGCTGTAATCACTGAAATGCCTTTGTTTTGGCACGATGTTAACTTATCGTACAACATAGACCGACACAAATCAAAGAAAGATAAGAACGAAATTTTGCACAGTAAACTCGAAAATGTTTATCAATATTTATTCAAGCATTTGCTTTATGATTTATTTGAGAACCTGAACCGCAGAGCAACCAACGAATTATATAACCGAAACGTTTGCAAACCAAAATTCTGAAGTCATCTCTTGGCAAAACAACCAATTCACGCTGATTGCATTGTCAAAAGTTTCGTTTGTGTTGCTTTCTCAGATACTGAATCACAATTCAATACTGAAATTCTGTTGGCTTTGCCATTTGCACACAAATTTTTTGCCAAAAAGCCAGTCAGCTGCGTCAGCTGAGCGGCGGCAAAACGACTTTATAGATAGCCACAAACTGGCTGGCAAAATTATCATAATGAAATAATGGCCAAGCGACACAATGGTCAACGATTTTGGAAAGGTTCGGTGGGGGTCGAACTGCGGGGGCGCTACCAATAAAGTAAACCTGACGCCATTAGCAGGCCGCTTTAAGTCCAGCATTTGGAGGTAAACATTGGACTAAATTAGCCGAAAATGGGAACAGAAGAGGCGGTTTTTAGTAGCTTTATGGTTGCATATCCACACCCAAAAAAAAATTATCCAACCCGACATGTGGGCTGGGTGTTAGTGTGTTGGTCCACCGAGCTGTAAGCACGAGTTCGATTCCTACAGAAAGTTTTTTTTATACAAAAAGTTTTTTTTGTTTTTTTTTTTGAGCGGTTTATACAAAGAAAATTTATTTTGCTTTTTATTTTTGCTTTTAATGCATTACTTTTGACAAATATAATGATAATGAAAATTCAATTCATTATTTTCACAAATATAATGCTACACAGAGAAAATTTTTCAAGAAGACTGACGTTCTCAAATTAAGTATTTGTATTCTCAATTTGAGGAAATACTGATTTTGTAAACAAATTTAAAAAAAAGTCTAATTCTTTAACCATGTTGTTTCCCCCTTATTTGTCCCCTTTTTTGAGGAAATAATCTTTATAAAAACTTAATTCCAAGGTATTTTACTGAAACTGAGTAATTTTACTTAAAATGAGTAGGGGAGAGTGGGGTTATTTCGTCACAGGGGCAATTTCGTCACCTGCAATATCTCGGAATCCATAAGTCTTAAAAATATATAATTTTTTTTGTTTTAGTCCCTTAAGACGG